TTCGTCGCTATCGTATTTTGCTATAGTAAATACGCAGCGCTGCTGTTTTGCACAGGCGTTGTAACCCCACCGCCATCGCCGAGCATTGATTAATCGGACGGAGTTGCGAGCCGTTCCGTGGTCAATAACGGTCACGGGGTAGAGTCCTGATAGTTTGGACTTGACGATATGATACCAAGTACCATCGGCTATTTTTAAGCCTTCGCTAATGTAAAGAGGACGGTGAGCGCGCGAGACTTGAGAGACGCCGCGCTGGAATTTGATCGCGATTCGACGGCCGCCGCTTTGTGAGAGACGAGAAGAATCAGCGACTGCCGCCAATCTCGAATCGCCTACGACACTGCTTCTATCGACATACAGAACGGAGTATAAAATCGAAACCATGTTGATAGACGTAAAGACAAGAAGATATGGGTAGGCACTAATGACTCACGTAGACTGGCGCCATGAAACACTTAAAAATTTTCAACACTTTTTTGTATGATAAAATAGAAACCATATTTAGTAATTATTTATTACATATATAACGTATATATATGAACGTAAACATTATGGTTATGCGTGTTTTCTTTTTTTGAAAATAGTAAATAATAGTGTTATATTAGGGTCTGATGGCGTGTAACGTGCGCGAACGCGTCCTGCAAAGCGTGACCCTATACGACAATTTATTATTTTTTTAAACAATGCATGTTACCATTTTGCAAGTGACAAACTATTTTTGATACTTTTACACAAATAATTTTTCCCATAAAAACACCTATTTTCGACACTCCAAAATACTCTTTTCAGTGGTTTAGAAAAATATGTTTTTCGAACACGCACTAAAATTATATTTTCCTCTGTTAGAATAATCTTTCAATTTCATCGCCCTACATTTGCAGATCAAAATGATGAAATAAAATACCATTCGCAAGACCACTGTCTAAGTTCGGATTTTTTTTTCCAGTAATTTGAAACTTGATTTTCTGTGAATATGTGATCAAACATTAAAACGCGAACACAAAGAGAATGAAGCTGAGTGAAATCGATTACTTAACGATCGCGCGACTTGAAGAAACGGAGGCCCGACCGCATCCTCGTTATATAGTTCGTCACCTCGAGCGACCTTTTATCGTCCGCACCACTGGTACTGTTGCGCTTTCCTCGTATTCCCCTACGTCACTTGGAGCATCGCGCGTCGCTTTGCGTGGAAATCGCATCAAGTTATCTTCTAGTCTTCGATTTCTTCTCCATTTTTCGCGATTTTATCTTTCGCGATTTTTTCGTTTCCGATAACGGAGAATAATCGGCAATATTCCTCCGTGAATTTAGAGAGACAAGTGGATTCGCAAAATCGTGAATTTACCTGAAGACGATCCAAACGCAGTCTCGGGAGTAAACCGGATGACCTGTGTCACGGTACGTCGGCAATCGATGACCCTGTTTATTTATTTTGTAATCGGGGCGCGCGGATGTAATCATCGAGCACGCTTTCGCATCAAAATAGACGTAACGTAGTAAACAAGGGCATGATTTGCAAGCAATCAGTAATTCCCGATAAGGAGTATTGGCGCGAGAACGTTATCGCGACGGTATTACGTCTCGTCGCGACCTTACAGAAGAAATCGGTAAAAGTTACCGAAGTTTAAGCGGATAAGCCGCGCGGTGCTGACCGCGACGATCGCCTGATGAGCGCTACGTTGTTAATTGGATGTTCTGATCGGACGTATTTTCAGTGGCGCATCAAGGAGGGGATCATTCATAAATTATTTATCAAGCATAATTATGTTCATATACATTCATTTCACTACCTAATAAATGCTAATTTAAAACCAAATTCAGACAGGCATATATACACAATATTACAAATATGAAAGTATTTTTTTTATTTCTTTTATTAATGCTGTTTTTATCTATCAATAACAAGCATGTCAATCTGAGATCTCTTATAGTTTGAAATGCATGCGTGCGATAGAAAACAAGAGGGCGATCTTTCGCGGATTTTCATTTGGAGGAACACCATAATAATCAGGCCGCGCGCGGCGCGTAGCGGCGGCGCAATAATAATTAGATCAGCATTTAAGCGATAATCGGCTACCCTATAATTAGACGTGTCAGCTATTTCGTACGACTTTATCACGCGGCCTTTATTGCTACGATAAACTTGCGCGTATAATCGTTGTGTTAGCGGCGAATAGCCGCGTGAACCGTACCCATGTAGAACACGAGCCGTGACCCCGCGCGCGCGCGCATCGCGCTCGGCGATACTTTGTACAATCGGCACAAACGTCCGGCTGAATCGGCCACAACCATCGCGAAGTTGATACTGTCCGAAGATCCTCGAATTACTCGCGATCACGTGAAAGCAATTCGTGTAGGATCAAAATGTTTTCCTTTAATTTTTTTATAATATATAAATAGAAACTTGGATTTAACAAAAAAAAAACACTGATAAACCGTGAGATGAAAGATCTTTATGGTTTTAACTTTCCGAGCCGCGTATCTTTTTGAAACGAGAATGGTCGCGGGTCACCTGAGAGGTAGCGTTACTATACTAAAATAAATTCGGATAGTACTTCATAGGTGCACACAACAAGTGCGAAATGTTGGATCTCGAAAGTTTTTATATTACGCATTTATGAAGTGCACGAACTTTCTCTGATAACGGAATCAAGTATTATCGCGTTAAAGTAAGGAAGATTCTTACGTAAAAGTATGCTCTTTGGTCTCTCGCGAATATTCCACGGCCCCTCGAAATAGAAGTTTTCGTGACAAATTGCCGAGCGAAGGCTGGCGAAAGGATATACTGAGAAAAAAGCGGTTCAATGGGCAAAATCGGCGGTCACTCTCATTAAAAAAAAAATACCGTATCCGTTGAACAAATTACGCAATTGGCAACAATTGTTGCTGACCGAATTGAAATTTCGTTCATTCCAGCACTTTTTTCTTACTATAGTTATCGATATTCTCTCTGTCTTTCTCTTCGAGAGGCGGTCTAAATGCGACCATCGGGGCTTTCACGAGGAACGAGGATTCACGAAGAAGGAGCTGTCGTCGTTGAACTATACGTCAGCTCTCGCCCTAAAGCACGCCAGCCTTCCCGGATTAGCGACCATAACTCTTACGCGGGGCACTCTAAACAGCCCGATTCCCGAAACACGCGACACTCGTTGCTCACGGCTCTCGTCCTACCTCTTGTCGCGTCCAGCATCCATTCCGGACCGCCTGACGCTCTTTTTCCGCGACTCTCTCTGCCTAGCCTGCCTCATAATCGCTCCCGTTAGACAATCTTGCGAGGCATGTATCTCTCGCGATTCTTAAACATTGATATCGTCACTTTTTTCTGAAACTAACCAGTCGTCATGTGTGTATGACGTAATCACATCGACTGAAATAAGTACAAGGGTACGTCGCTCATGAAAAAAAAAAAAAAAAAAAGGAGGCTGTATCTCATCTTTGCACGTTAGAACTTCTAATATCTACAATCGCGCGAGGAGTAATGAGAGGATTGTCCTTTGAAGGGGTGTTTCAGTAACTGCTGCCGTGCGTCTTCTCGTCTCTGATAGACCTTATCTCGACCAAGGTTACCGTGGGGAACTATTAGCGATTATTTCATCGACGCGCGCGTATCTGCACGTAACATCGGGACATATCGATATCCGTCTAAGGTTTCAGCTCTGTAAGGCCGGCGGGATTAATCGGCGAGCGAGAGCCGTGTCGGCGGGCCGTATCTCGCGCCTATCTATCCGGACATTCAGCGATTAGCGAATAATAAAGTCCGGTAACACGAGCCGAATAACGATGACGATGACAACGAAGGAACTGCTTCCCTTTATCGCTCGTTCTCTCTTTCTCTGCCTCCTCGTTCTTTCGGTAATGTTCCTCGCCGACCGACTCGACGATCGCACACGGAAAGACGAACCTGCCCAAGCAATCGTATACCGGGCGCGATAGTCGACCACCGACGAGAAGTCGTCTCGATATCCCGTCGAAAATGAAGAACGAAGGAGAGCAGGCCGGTGGCGAAATCCTTCGGCCGTGATTACGTCGTGGTACGACCATCAAGTTCGCCGATGCGTCGACGAATGTTAAATCATACGCGTGCTTTGTCAGCGTTTCCCGACGAGACAAACGACCAGGAGGTGGTATTTCTATACCGCGGAATTAGGAGAAGAGCGTCGTCACCGCCGCCGTCGTCGGGCACGACGATTTTGTCGACTGTAGACTGTAGTAATCGCAGGGGAGAGAATGTGTGACTAAACGTCGCGCGGAAAGATCAGGGCTCCTCTCGCGCGCGCAGCCCTCCCGCGGTATATCACTCTCTCCTCTCCTCTCCTTCTCGCGTAAGGAAGCGTGAGCGCGGTCGTCGTCTCGTTTTCTCGCAGAGAGAGAGAGCACTCCCTCGCGATGGCACGACGACGATACAGCTCGCGGCTCCTCTCTCTCTCTCTCTCTCGACCGCACGCTTTTGTATTATTAGAACGCGGCCTTTACACGAGAACTCATTCGACTTCCTTCCGCCGCGACGACAATCGGGATGCCGTCCGATACCGGGACTCGCTGGGCCCCGGTAGTCGAAATTGGCTACTGTACTGTCTGGTATTTTACAACTGAAAAACATGAGCATGTCGGTTTACCATATTTATGACAGTTTAGTGCTTTTCTTCTATATGTATTTTTAGAATATAAAACAAACTGTGTAAATCGGTTGGTTGAGGCAGAGGAGAAAGAGAGAGAGAGAGAAAATATCTATCTGGCACGAGCTAGTATTCTAGAGTTAAAGGAACGAATTTGATCCATTTAAGCGATCTTCTTTCTCCATGCTGTTTGAATGAACCACAATACGTGATTTTATATCGCCAGGGTATCGGGAAAATGATTTAAGATCAACGCCGCGAGGATAACGTTCCGTGAGCAACCAAACCGAGACTGTTTCTTCTTAAGGTCAGTCGCGATATTTGGAGATCATCGACGGCTTGTAATGCATGATGTAACGGAAGTGAGACGAAGAGGGAACGTACCTTGATGAAGGGGCGGCAAGGGCGACGGCGGCGACAGCTGAAACGGCTCCTGTTTGATCTTCAGGGAATGAGGAGAGTCCTGCATGCCGCTGAGTCCCGTAGCACCCAGATTGCCATTTCCCTGCTGCAGCTCCTGAAAAACGTCATTAAACTTTGACATATACATGTATCTCGCATCCTACGGATAGATTCGTCCAGTCGTTTCCGATCAATACCGCTTCGAGTATAGTCGACTTTATTTTATATATATATGTATATATAGTAGAGATAAACACGTTGATATACTTTAATACAAACGCGTACGTTCAGCCGACCGACGCTGCACACGCGGGTTAAAAATATCGGAAGAAAATTTAATAGACCGCTCGAAATGATTTCGCGGGACCTTACCGAGATATCCGAAGAGACTCGGAGAGTGCGCGGGGCGCGCGTTATAAATTTTCGATAAAGGATGGCGCATCGACGAGGTAAATTCACGTCACCCTAAAATACTCCCTAAAACATAGTCTCTCGTAGAGTCCTCCGACGGAGGTAAACGAACCGGGGAATCACCGTCGGCGCGAGAGTAAAGGAGAAGACAGAGAGCGAAAGAGAGAAGGAGAGAAAAGCAGGCGTTGCGAGCCGGCGGACCAAAAGACTTTTGGCTTGGAGCTTGCGATGTTTGATGTTACCGTCGCCGGAAGCTTACAAACACCGACTCGGTGTTGTGACATCGTATTATGCCGGCCGAAACTTACGGTCTCGCTAGATCGTTAATTTGCGATACGGTTTTACGGCTCCTAGGTCGCTTCTCACGACCGGATCGCGAATCGTCGCGAAACTCAATGTGTATTAAAACGAAACACACCTCGGCGAGAGAAACAGTTAATTACTTCTCGGAGACGTGTTCGCTCGCCTTACTGTTCCAGAGCTAAGAATCCGTTACGACTGTTTTACTGTCTGACCACAGTTATACGAGTACACTGGTAACCTAATCGTCAAAAAGATCAAAAATACTTTCTATTTTTGTTTTACAAGAAATTCCCCATGTAGTAATGCTGATCGTTAATATTTTTTTTTCTACTAAACACAAAATTTACGCTTCGTAAAGACATAAAATACGCAAATTTAACTTCCATGCGAGCGCACAAGTCTATGGTAGTGAGAAAACAATCACACGTAGACGCAAAATGTATGACTTAACATGTCATTGAGAAGAAAAGAAAGTTAAAATTGCAATCCTTATTAATTGTATACGTTGTGCTGATTGCGACAGTTCTCGCAACATCTTATTTACATCAAAAATAATCGCGTGTGCCTTATCGTTTCCGGTCGGGATTACCGAGTCGCGATCTTCTTACATTTGCTGTGCACGTAGCGCGAACATGTGAAGATCTCATTCGACGAGTTGCAAGAAATCGAAATGATCAACGATGAGAGGGAGAGAGAGAGAGAGAGAGAGAGAGAGAGAGAGAGAGAGAGAGAAATTAAAATAGGTAAGTTTTAAATTGATCGAAGGATTTAATCTTTCAACTTTATTTATGTCTAAATTATAAGTTAAAAAAATATATATATACATCGTATTTTTTTCATATATAATTTTTTTATTTTTTCGGAATAATATTGTATATATAAGATAACCGATCATTTTCTCAGCATTCGTGGTGTGCCGATAGAACATTGTGAAACTGAACAGAAAAGTCATGTACTATTTTGCAAAATTCGCAATAGTTAATGAGGAATTAATTAATCTGTATGAGCTAATAAGCGCGCGCGGGAAGCGGTAGGCCGGACTCTGAATAAAGAAAAATGACTTACTTCTTAAGATCTCCTAGCAACGCTGCGAATCAACTGATAGCGAAAGGCGTGTTACTTTTCGGTGCAGCTCTCTGTCACATGCTGTTTGTTGCATTACGCTGCCTCTTCAGTTGATGCTTATCGTTGCTAGGAGTAAGCCTACTCTTCAGAAGTAAGCCATTTTTTTTTATACAGAGTTTTCGACCTACCGCTTCCCGTGCGCTCAGTAGCTCATACAAATTAATTAACTCCTCATTAACTATCGCAAAACGGTATTGGACTTTTTCGTTCACCTCAATCCGTTCTACGTCCTCACGAGTTTTGCCCATGTTAATTTGGAACACTTCGTATATAAAAAGACATAGAGTTGAGAATGTCTTTAATAATTATATTATAATCGGAACAACATCCCAATCAGATGCAGAAGACGTTCATTCTCACGTGTTCAATCTTCTTGTCAAAATACTTGAAGGTTTTAGCGATTGTGAACGAGCCAATAGACGGTAACAGGAGTTATTATCGATTTTCAGCTCGTATTCATGAAGCCGATCGCCGTGCTGCTAGAATGGATCGATAAAACGACGCTCGATAACCCACTTTTAATCCATTCAGCGATCATAACGAGAACAAGTTACGCGAGTGACGCGAATAACGTCACGCTAGTACCAAAATCCGTCAATCAGATCCTATACCGGGGCATTTCTCTGCAATTTTTTTAAAACGAAAAACCTCGCTGTTCTTTTGCTGAACATGTTCGACATGCGTGCTTTGTATTCATGTTACAACGCTCATTTTCTGTATTGTGAAATTAATTTCTAGAACTGCCCTCTCTCTCTCTCTCTCTCTCTAATCACCTAATGTACCTGAAGTACAATCACAACTACACTTACAATCACCGATACGGTGATTATCACCAAAATCATCATGATAACCACAGTTACAGCCATCATATTGTTACTACCGCAACAACCACGACCATAAATAGTAGCATCGACTTTGCTATATCCATTACAACTATCCAGCACATGCAACATTGAATATTTATTGCTAGATAATGACGACAAATTGAGAGGCTTAGAACAAAATCTATTTTTCATTCAGACATTGTTACATATCAATTCAATAGAGACGCGCTAATAGTATCTTCAAAGCAGTTGACATACGGAAGGGAAATATGAAAAGTTCCGATAATTGAGACTGGAGATTTTTCATGATCGCATATAATTCCCACCTCGGTCGTTTAATCAACGTAATTACATCGGCTGACATTAAACAACCTTTCGATTAAAATCCGTTAGGATTCAACTTAAATCAACGTTGTTACATACTGTTTACTGTTACATACGGTATATTTACATACCATTTATATACGCCGGCAGACTCTAAACCTAATATTTAGGAAACACGTTACTGTTGGGAACGTGTTATCTAACTTCCCTAATAGTGGGTAAAATACTCCGCGGTAATCCGATGATGCATACATGTTATAATTATCAATCTGCATTATTCGGGTTAAGATTGATGAATGCGGGAGGAGAACAAAATACATTTGATCTGTTATCGTGGTATAGATTAATTCGTCGTGTTTTACCGAGCCTATCCTACATTTTTGGAGCTATTTAAATTTCACGCGTTGTCACAGTAAATGTTCGAGACAAACTAATCTTTTTCACAAGCTGTTTATCACGTAATTAGTGGTAAATTTAACGTTCTGAATATACACTCGTATTTAATTTCACGACACTGTGAACTTCTTCTGCGATTTATCATGCGCATTCAAGTGTTTTTTAATAACTCTTGCTCATTTCATTCTGTCCTTATTCTGTCTGTATTTCCGCAGATGTTCATATCTTGTACGAGAGTAACGTGTAGGTAATGCTTGTTCAATTTTGATACGCAAAATATAAAAACGTGCAACTAAGATCTGTTAATAAAGTTTGAATCAAAATTCTCGGTGAATTTTAAGATCCGCAATGTGCGAAATCGTCGCGAAGTAAATTTCGACGGAGATGGTGAATCGTTGTGAAATTTTTGAGATCATAACCCTGACTTATTTTTTCGCTCTTCCGTTGGAAGATAACGAGAGTGAGTATATAACGTTAAGCTGAACTCATTATTTCGTGTTGTACTGCGAAAGAAGGGAAATTCCATGAAAAAATAAGCGAACTTAATAAATACGATTGATGAAACATCTCACAAATCGTACAAAATTCTAAGTCGATTCGTTAAAAATGATTCTTTTTTAACGAGTCGCACGTAATAAGGCGTCACGAGAATCTCCTGCTATTCTGATATCTCCAAATATGGAATGTTACATCTCGAAAAATTAACTTTATACAAATACAGGACGCATTTCTTTAAAAATTTCTCAGTTGAAGGATGTTTATAATTTTCTTAAAAATTGTTTTCAGGAATTTTTCATTATTAATTTCCGTCCGTTTCTCTATAAAAAGCCAATCTAACAATCTAACAGGGGATTCGTTCTGTCCCGATTGATTTTTTAATAAAAAAAATAAGAGTTCATCCTTACCCCGGAAACCGGAATGATGTGCGAAACCATCCTGGATCTGTCCGTGGATGTGTAATTCATAAAGGCGTTGGCCGTCGTCGCAGCATTTACACGACGATGCCGCAGCAGCTCCCCCCTATCGACGGACGAACTCTCCACAATTGCGCCGCCTTTGATGACAACTTCGATGGCCTTTACGTATCGGTCCTTGATAAGCGCCTCCGAATATCGTCAGACTTCCGATATCCGAAATCTTATTTCACTGACACTTCGAAATCGAAATTCACTTCGAATCCGAAATCTTGCTTCACTGACACTTCGAAGTAGAAATACACTTCGAATTCAAAGATTTTTTACATTTTCGAGTGAGTCATTTGCGTGATTGCAAAGAGAAATGGGAAATGTGCGCCTTGATTCGGAAAACACAACCAGAAAATCTGCAACAAAGTAAACGCACATCTTCTGTGACACCACTCACATCGGCGTTATATAGAAGGAGAAGATGATATTATGATCCTTATTTATAAATATAATGTCCTCTCTTAATATCTCCGTTATTAGGTGGCGAATTCTAGCAATTGCTTATGGAATCATTTATTTAGTAGCCCGCCATTATACAACGTCGCTAATATGTCAACATATAATAATTTGGTATAACGCATTTTTATTTTCGAGCATTTCGAGTAAATATTCCACAACTTTGAATCTAGAATAGATTGAACAACACTTTGAAGAATGTAATTGTTAAGTTTTCAATTTAAAATATTAATTATTAACAAAGTTATCATACAAAATGTAAATAAAGGACCATAATATCACCTTCTCTATTATATATTTTTTATTTATTTAAACATATATAATAAACACACGAATTTATCACGTAATCCGCATATAACCGGAGATTTTTTAAAATAAATCCGAGATCGCGTAAAATCTGGAAACGTGAAGCTGATCATAATTCGAAATTATAATGTGATATCATATCAAACCGGGCTCAACCGATTCACTGAAAGAATCTAATACATTTTCGACTCATGTCGATATTGAAAGAAAAAAAAAACACGTGCGCGTCAAATTATAGCGTTTGAAATATAAACGAAACTTTTTGTTCTGTCACTGAGAACTCAACATAATTATCTCCGAACATGGAAGTATTATGATACAAAGTAAGTTGAAACTTTCGGATATATACTGTCAATATGTTATATTATATGTTTCGAAGAAACGTTATTCTTTTTCTAAAAGCTCCAAATTACGACGCTCCATTTTCACGAGCAGCATGAGACGACGAGATAAGAGACGAGGTTTCTAGCTGCTGACTGATGATTTCAACGAGATGACGGGTATGCAACAGCTGAGCACTTAGCATCCTGGGTCGATGACAAGGATGGGAGGAAAGGAATCGTCCCCGGGGACTCATCGGGACTTCCGCCGGCACAGAGATAGAGATTCTCGTCGCGGAGAGAAGCTCGTAAATCCTATTCTCGCTCGATCAGTGGGCGCCCGATGTTTACGATTTCCCCGCTCGTCCCTTCTTTAACATGCATTAAGTGCCGCAAAGCTACTTCGAGGGCCTATTTTCTTTTTGGATCGCCGCAGTTTGTAGATATCGTGTTCTCAACACTTTCTTTCGGCGTGAGGATCACCGGTTGATGGCCTATGACGAACGTGCACGTGCCACTCGAGTTAAATTTAATGATATTACGATTCCCTCTCATCGATGTAATAGTTTATAATATATAAGATTACTAAATTTATTATAATTATGAAGTTTGTTATAATTTTATAACATATTAAATTAAAACAATCATAATAAAATAATTATAATTATGCGTGATGTAGGGACACACTACAGTATAAGCGTTAATTTTGTTCCACTGATTGAATGAATTGATTCTTCAAAATATTTATATAATCATACACCACACGTGACGCCTTCTTCTCGCGTGTCGAAGATCTGCACGGTGCTTAATAAAATAATAAACGTGTCTCGGAGTATTTCCAAATATCTCGGAATTTTTTCAGCGGGAATTTTTGATTACGCATCAATGGAGCTCTTTATCGCTCTTATAGTAATCGGCATAAAAATATTTATGTTCATTGGCAGGAAATTATTTGGTCGATTAGATTATGTGTTTTTTATGACACGATATTTTGTGTTTTCGTTGCTAATGCAATTAATCGTCCACTGCAAATGCGAATGGTCGCGGGCGATAAGAGATGTAGAAATATTTTACTAATCAGCCAACCCGATGTTTATTGTTTCCGAATCCTTTTAATATACAATTTTCAATGTTTCTAAACAATTTGAGGACTATCAAACGTGAGTGGCTTCACTATAGTAAACTATGACACGCTGTCGTACGCAAGATTATCACTTTCCAACCAGTGGTACAGCTTGAGATATTTATACGCTCACTATAGGGAAATTATTCAACTCGTCGGATATAGATAGAACACACACGATACGTTGCAAATACCAGGATCATTTTTCACAAATTGCGCTTCGCGTATTTATCAGCCTCTCCCAACCTTTTTATCAAACTTCAAACCGCCGTTACTCAATTTTCAGTTTATCCCTGCATTTATAATCGCGATGTATCTTTCCGCCGCATGCAACTATTTCGCGCGGACAATTTACGATTTCCAATGAATTCACTCACACGCGTGCTCTCTCCATCCGCCCGTCACGTCGATGTGTCCTGCCTAGTTTTCCACATATGTTTATCGTTCTTACGTGTAATGACTCGCGGATTACGACGAATGCGGAGAAGAGCGAGGTTGTCGCAATTCCGATCGGCAAAGCGGGACCGCGCACGCGGCGTCGGCGCCAACTTTTTTCGAGTAACGAGGAAAACGCGCTTATCTCCGCCGCGGCGCAGCAAGAAGAAGAAATAATTATCTCGCTGTTTAATAAATACCACGTCGGGGTCTTGTACAGAACCCGGCCCGATCGCGGACTGAAGTTTACAAACTCGCCGCGATCTCTCGCGCGCCGTCGGCACAGACGGCGGGTCTTTTAAGATAGTCAAATTGTTATACAAAATCGCGGCACGCTCCGCGAGACCGGTGATTTTTCTTCCGCCTGTGACGTCACTTCGCATTGCGATAAATGCGGATTCTCATTCATCACTCAGCGACGTCCGCCGTCGCTCGCTGGTGGTGCGACACACACCGATGCCTGTCGTTATAATTTCAATCTAATCGACGATTAACTCGACGAAAATGACCAATCGCACTGATCAGTTCGGCTAATTGGCCGATACGATTCGCCAATCCCGTCGATTGGATTTAAATTATGTTGCTGGAAACGGTCCGCACGTGTCGGTCACTTTTCAGTTGCGTCTTTTTATGCTCTTCGTATCATCTCCGACATCGTAATATCCCCCGAGAATCCTTAGGGCTGCATTCCAAATATTTAATTCTCACAAGGGAAAATTTACTCGGTGACCTCCAAAGGGTGAAAGAGGGACTGCTAGTCGGAAAGACTCGTCAGATTTGTTGAACAACCATCGAGCAAAATTTTTCTCGAAAGGAACGTTTTGGAATGTAGCCTGGGAGAGATTGGATATTAATTGCCCGTCGAGAACGATTAAAATAGCGTGTCAACCGTTCTCGATGCTGGTCATAAAGAAAATGGAACGAACAGAGGATGACTCGTAGAAATAGCGGAAAGAAGAGAAACAGAGCGTAGGAAACATAATTAGAAATGTATCAACGTACATTAAAAGTTTCGGCACACGGATCGACTAATGCGCGTTTAAGCATAGTGTAAGAAGTCTCAACCACCAGGACTGCGTTCGAAAACAAACCGGTTCGTCGTGGAGTAACGTTTATTAACGAATCATGATAAATAAATTTTTGCTCTTTCGTCCTGATTGGTTAATTAAATGCCACTCTATCTATCGAGTAGGGTTTTCGAATGCAGCCCAAGAGAATCCGATATCAATTCTGCCAAACAGCACGATTTACAGATGCACGTCGAGCACTTAAAGTTATCGTCGAGCATCTCCACGCTACACAGAAAAATATTACTAGTACTGTGAAGAAAAGCAATTATTCAGCTTATTTTTCTTCTTTCAAGCAATGGTTATCTGAAATATTTTCTTGATAATAGCGTTAAAATATACTCATCACAAATATTAGAAAAATTCATGTTCGCTTATTGAAAAGAAGATTCTTCTCTTCTTAAAAATATTACGATTTTTACATTATTACAGTTTTTAAGAAACAGATTTGATTCTTATAACCAGAAATTCTGTCCCCTTCAAACATTACGCGTTTGGTTGTCTATTTTCAGATATAATGTTAAATTAACACATTCACTTTGTCAACTATATCCTTGTCAATTCAACATTATATCTGTGTACTTTTTAACACACTTCCTATAAATAATAACACGAAATTTCAGTGAACCATTTTTAACAAAATTTTGTATCGTGCATACTTGTAGATGTATAAACTTACGAAATATACTTGAGACAATATTGAAAGCAGTATGTATTTCTCTCTCTCTCTCTCTCTCTCTCTATGCGTACTCCCTTGCGCTAATCGTTTTGTCTTTCGGTTTCTCGCCATGCACAGGAGTGCGCCCGGCCGAATTAGCGATCGGCAGCTCGACGATAACAAAATGCCCGCGCTTTTTTACCACGAGCGTCGCAAGAGACGCAGTCAGAGGATCGCGTCGAGTAGGTTTTCTCGTGGTTGACAACAAAGAGAGCCATATTGGTATCGTCGCGTCGTTACCTGCTGTGCGTGTATTCTCCGCGGGGACCCCCGAGAGACTCTCTCCTCCACCGGGTCACTCCGAGATTCACCGTGTCGCAAAACGCGAAACTCGCGAGCGAGAGACGAGGGTCGGCTGGGTGAGGCGCGCGCGCGAAAACGGACACGAGCGAGGACGAAATCGTGGAGGCGAGAGGCGAGACTGGGCCGTTAAACAGCCGCGAGCACGATCGGCGGCGCGCGCGTCCCTGCGACGTGAAGGTAGGCGGAGTCCGGCGTCCGGGCGCGACTTCAGGCCGCCTCCCTCAGCGAACCCGCGTCGCGCGTCGACCGACCTCTCGGCAACTTCGCGTCGTATTCGATCACCGATTTAAGTTCGCTATAGCCCCAACAGCATCTCCGAGACCAATTTTCACGAGCACGACGGACACCCCCGCATTCTTCGCGACGTGATTCTTGGGTATACTTTTCAGATAGTACTTCCGCGTTACTTTTTGCCGACTGAGATCTGAGAGATCGGATAAATACCTAACGATTAAGCCGACCGCTACTGAAAACGAGCGTCTCGAAATATTTCAACACGCGAAGCGTGTTTGACCGGTAATAGAAAAAAAAAGGTACGAAGACGTGATAAGTCATATGTCGGTCGTGGCGGACGAACGTTATGTAATTACGCTGACGTCGCATTCCGCGAGGCGCGTTAAGCAACCATTGTTTTATTCGGTTAATCACCAGTTAGAATCGATGTCATGAAATTAAGGTCAAGAGAACGAGGCCGCGCGCCGAAATCGCTGACCATCGTCAAAGATGTACATGTTATGCTAAACATACGAACGATTAGCTCTCTGCTGGTTTTATCAACAGCGTGTCTGTATCTGAACCCCAACGGTTTTTTGTACAAAAGAGCAGCGATTGTACATAGCCACTTAGGAGAGAATTATCGGTAGTAAAAACTTTTCTGTTAAAAACGGTCCACTGAAATTTTTGTGTTATTCTAACGTGGAAAATATGTTAGAAAATATACAAATAAATGTTAAATTAATAAAATTCACCTTTTGTTAATATATCACTGTTTAATATATTTACTTTGTTAAATACAATTTCAGTAGACCGTTTTTAACATCAAATTTCTTACGGTACAAAATCGCCGAGTGTTTTTCAGATTTTCAGACAGATGTTTTTCTTACTATGTGTCAGATGCGTCTCGAAAACCGTCAAAGAAGAAACGTTCAAACCGTTTAGCAGACGAGTTAAATACACAGTTCGATACATCACTTAAGACGTAAGGTACAACTTAAATGTAAAATACTGCGAGTTAAAATCTACAAAAGTAAGCGTTACATAAATTTCACATTACACACGTATATGCATTACATAAAACGTTTCACGAAACGTTCGAAATTTTTAAATATGAAAACTACAAGTGACACAAGATGGGAAGCGTAGCGTCGAGGTGAATCTCGCGACGGAGAGGAAATGGTTTTCCAACGAAGTTTCCAACGATGCACGTTCTCGTTGCATCCACCGACGAAGCGCATGCATCACGCGATCACCTTGTACATAAATGTTTCTATCGAACTGTATATTTATATTTTTCGATTCTGCACGACGGATTTTACGCTACGAAAAAAAGGGCAGATATATGTTAAAAGACAGACGGGAGCACGCGGAGGTAGCGGCGTATCGATAAAAGAAGAGGAAGCTGGCCGATAGCTGGCGAAATATCGCGTAAGAGAGACGTGGTAGGGGAATAACGGAGACCGTGACGCCATGTTGGGGCGGCATCAGCGAGCCGCTCGTCCTGTGCGATTGGTCGGAAGCTTGCACCAAGACATCGACTCGACGTGCGCACTCGCATTCACCCCGGCGACTCCTCGCGAAGCTTTGCGTTCGATTCGCGTTCAATTCGCGAATCGCACCGACGAGCGAGGCACTGGAAGGCACGCAAATTCGCCGTTTAATGGCGAACTTTCCGACCGCAGATCCCATAAACGCGGCCTCCACTGTAATTTCGAGCGCGATCAAAGAGCGTATTTTCAGGCCGTTCTAAATCCACATTTCGAGAAGGTGGAGATTCGATCGGATAAATCGATTCTCGATCGATGCGACAATGACGAAACTCTCGCCAACTTCAGGATTGACAAGATTGACTTTTCAATAGATCAACTGACACATTGACGAAAATGATCGAACTTACGGGGAGTAAAGTGAACTTCCATCCTGATGAAAATCGACGAGATTTATTTTGCGGATACTGACTGGTTGATTGGTACGATGATCTCACTTCTCTGCAAATGAATTAAAACAAATTTTAAGAAAACTATAAAAATGTTAGAACATATTGCTATAATTATGTATTTTTGTTCCAAAGGGAAAACTTCTTCCCGTTCATGTAATAATAAGTAACAATAATGTAAGGGAATGTGCAGTGAGAGAAAAATGTTTGATGCTTGCAACTATAATCGCATAAGTAAAAGAATCAGGAAATCAATTAGGAAAACCTACTATTTTGTGGGTTAAGACGTAATGTCTACGTCTGGAAAATATTGATTTAAGGCGCTCTCGAAATGAGATTTTCGATCGCGCCTGATCGCACCTGATCCAGACGCTCCTCGCGGTATTGATACCCTCCGCGAGGATCTACGGAAATCGCGGATCGTAGATAGGTTTGACGACAGGAAGGGAAACAAATGGGAACAACGGTGGTCAAGCGCGGCCGGATATTTTTCAACAGCCCGCAATGGCCGAGTGTGCGAATTGTTGACCGAATGCTGGGACTTACGGACGCCGATGTTGCTGATATAGCGGGGTATTGTTAACTCAGCACAATGACCGTGTTTAGCAACATCGACCGGCCCGGTCGCGTTCGATTGTTCCTGCCTGCCTGCCTCGCGCGCCTGCGCACTATTGCGTTATCGTGGACAAGTTAATTAATGCACCGTGAACGACGACCCTCTCTAAAACTGATATCCGGATATCACATTTTCATTCGATGCGCGAACACGCGAATTTTGTTCCAGAGACCATCGCCTCGATTCGCCGGCGTTATTAATCCTTTACCTGCATTCTCCCCATAAAACCGATGCGTGTACACTCTACGCACACACGTGCCCGTCGGAAGGTTAATTTCCGATTAGACGTCCTTATTATTGCTTACTTCTAATGTAGATCATTCTTAAGTCTCACATTTTGATTTCAGGAATTTTTCCAGATTTTTTATCCGAATGCTTCTGCTTAAAAAGTTCAGCTTGACTTGCGAGGTATTTAAATTAATTCAGTTAATATCCGATTTCACGAATCTCGATTGAACCTTAACCTGAGTTTAAACTCTCTTCAAACAAAGACTTAAACTCAGATTAAGGTTTAATCGACGCTGGCAAAATCCGGTATATAAATGAAGAAGAAAACATATTTATGAATTTATCCTAATTAAGTATTTTTTTCGCGTATATTTGAGTCATTTTTTCCCAATCAATTAACTCTCAGTGAAATTATATTGGAATATTATGTCATAGTAATTGATTACCGAAAAAAGCTGATAAGTCGCGATAACTAAGGAGCCCTTATCCTTCCAACCAGCTTATGTCAGAGCACGTTTGGAGAAACGAAAGAAGGAAAGGGAGTCCTTGTTTTGATTGGGCAATGTCAAAGCAAACTGGCTCTCTCGACCCGGACTGACCTCTCTTTCTCTCTCTCTCTCTCTCTCCCTTCTGCCCTCCTTTCCTCCTTTCTCGCAAGCTCGAGAGCTCACCCTTCGCTTTTTACTGCCGTTTTATAGTCGTTTGTTTGTCGCGGCGAGGCGAGACAGGAGCGATTACCACGCGGTCACGTTCCGTAGAACGGTATTGCGAAGTATAGTCGTGACTAGAAGCTCCTCAATCTCTCGTCTGTTTCGAAAAATTTATCGAATATTACTACGCCCTATCTCGGGCGGAATTGATTCATTCGACTTTAATTCGCAAAAAATTCAATTACCTGTCATACAGTGGATTAGTTCGAAAATCACCGTTGTATGCGTCCTTACCCTGACTTTCTCCGTCCTGCTGGTGTACATCGGATTTCCCAACCGTTTTCGACGGTAATAGCGTGTCCATATCTGAGACCGAAAGAAAATCTGTCAATCCAACCGTCAAAATCGCAACCTAACCTGGAAAACTCGAAACTGAATACGATACGCAACGCAATTCCCCGGTTTTGCAACCTCCTCGCGGGGCCAAATTCGCGTTCTCTAACCTTTCGCTCCATCGAGCTGAAATTGATTTGTCTCGGCGCGTCGGATGGCATCGGGTCGCATAACATGCGCCTCCTACGACGAATTAACGCAAGACGCGGGTCGCCATCGTCCTCCGAGAGGGACCTCGTAAATTATTACAGGGTTATGTCGCGAGGCATTTAAGATCTATCGTCTCTCGCGAGCGACGGCTTCATATTTTAGCGGTCACGAGGCGTAAATGTTTACGTTTAAGGCGACCCACCGTCGCACAATATTACCTTTTACGCGTTTGACGTTCCTTATACGCGCGAACGAGCCCTTCGTGGTTCTCGAACCGCTACGTTCCGCTCGTAAAAAATCCCCCCCTCCTCCTCGCCGCCGAGTCGCCTTCCGCCCCGTGCCAAGCGATAGATTGGCCCAAACAAATAATATAAAGCTCCATTCACGAGTCAATCGGGGGAGGGCCGTCGTCGAACGGAAGCACGTAGCTCCGCGCTCGGGATGATCTAAAACTCGATGCAAAATCAGATCAGGATTTTGATACATTCGGCGCCTCGATACGAGTAAATGAAGAAATAATCCTGTTTCGCGTACTCGCGAATTCGAGGACACTCGTACTGATTTTAGGACTCGCAATTTCAATATTAAGAGAAATCATTGTTATTTTAAGACTCAATTATACACTTCTCATGGTTTAATGATAAAAATATGCATGTAAGGTTATTATCACTGGTCACTAATAATAATAATAATAATATATATATGTCCGAACTGTCGGTAATTCGAAATTATCAATTCCTGACAGTTTCAGATTCCTCAGCTTCGAACACAGACCGCCATCTAACGGGAACCAGATGAAATGGGAAGTAACCGGCCTGCTGTTGTCCCGTGCTCTGCTGTAACATATAAAAACCGAACCTGCAAACGCGGTTACTCGATTCTCAGGATTTATTGAACAGTGCAAAATTCACTGGTTTTAAAATGGACGACGAAAGCGACCAGGAGAATACGATCGAGGACGATTATTACACCTTCTTAAATATCCCGAGAAACGTAAGAATGTCCATCAATTCGTTACTCGTGGTTCTGAAAATTTCCGGTCCCGTGGAAGGTAGAGAACAGTTTTGGTCCCTCCACGTGGACCCTCGACTTTTCAACGTTGATGTAATACGGTCAATTCTGCAGAACTTTATGTTGTTTTTCACGACTAATCTCTGACATTTGGAATTGTAATTATTAATGACAGACCTACAAACACGTTGGTAGTGCCAATCGAGCATTACCAATTTGCACCTCTGAAATGTTATTTACTATAATAAATGTTCTCAATTGAATATTATAGAAATATCGACGATGGATACTAATTTATATTCAGTTCACTTAGTTTTCTCTTTCATAAAATTTGCATACATGATGATGTAACCAACTAAGAATGGTTACATGTTCTTTTTTGTGACCATGTGTTTTACTGCTCTAGGCTAGTCCTGAAGATATCAGCAATGCATATCGCAGACAAAGCAGGCTTTATCATCCTGACAAGCATACAGATTCGACGCTTAAGAAAGAAGCCGAGGTTCTTTTTAATCGTACTAAGAAAGCATACGAAGGTTTGTGCATAATTGAATATTAATATCAATATTTATATTTGTCTCAGGAAGACATCGTTGTTTTTAGATTATTAATTTGTTACAGCCAAAGTCTTAAAGTTGCCTTTCATTAACACGTATCATTTCATTGATACGACTATCAATCATTGATTGATACATATTGATTTCAATATGGATTATTCAATATAGGTTTATTGTAATTACATATGCATTATTATGTACTTTCTCTATTTATTTGTTTAATTGTGCACTTGAGAATAACGTTTAATATTGCAGTATTGAGTGACCCACATCAGAGAGCAATTTACGATTCACTGGGAACCCGTGGGTTAGAGACAGAAGGATGGGAAATCGTGCAACGTACAAAGACACCTCAGGAGATTCGCGAGGAATATGAAAGACTGGCCAGGGAAAGAGAAGAGAGACGTTTGCATCAGCGTACCAATCCTAAAGGCACCGTAACAGTAAATATTAATGCGACCGATCTTTTCACGACATACGATGAAGATTACATTGATAGGTAAGATCAAACCTCAAGTTGTTCTCTATGAGAAACGTTGATTAAGATTTCATATGCTTGCGTGACTGAATACTTTGAATTTTGTTCTAGCAGTGGCTTTTTCTCGTGCATCGAAGTTAGCGGAATGTCGTTTGCGCAGTCTATCGAAGCGCCTCTCACATTGAAGGACACAATAACTATGTCCGGACAACTTGGCACTCAAAACGGCACGGGTTCCGGGTCGATTAATATCTCGGCGAAACGATTGATCTCTTCCAAAGGCTGGGTGGAAGTCGAGGTCGGGGCTGGCAACGGCCCGACATTTTCTCTCAAAGGATTTCGCACATTGACAAAGAGATTATTCTGTGATGGAGCAGCAATATTACAATTCACGTCGCACGGTGTGAAAGCTGGCTACGTGGGAAGTACGTCCGCTTGTAAAACTATATATCATACTGAATTTCGCACAAATATTGTATTTGATTTCCATTTTTTATTCACACACACATTCTTTCGCGCGCGACAAATCGATTTTTAACTTGGACGTGTAAATACGTGTGTGATTTTAATGAGAGTATGAAAGGTAATTCTTAAAAAATATACCAGTTAGTCTGACTGAGATAAACCCAGAAAATATTACGAGAGTATTAGTGAGGATTATATAAGTTCATCATTTACAGCACTTGCAATGCAGTTGGACAAGCATACAGTGGGATATCTTACGTATAGAGCTGGCATACAAGATGCCATGAGCACCATGATTGTGAGAGACACATCCCGATCGTACACTGCAATCTCCATACATTTCGGACTTTTACATTCTTTCGTCAGCCTTAATTACACCTATAAAATGGAAGAGAAACAGCTCAGGCTTCGTAGTAGCGTCAAGTTAGTATCGTTGAGAAATATTTCTTTTTTCGTCACGCATCTCTTTATCTAGATATACATCATTTTCGGATAATCAATTTTGTTATGATTTGTACAGAGCTGGTACTTTCGGCGCTTTCTTCGAATACGGCGTGGAGAAAAAAGTCTCTCAGCACAGCTCGGTTTCGGCAGCTGTACGCGTCGGTGTGCCGACTGGCGTCACGTTAAAAGTTAAACTGAGTCGTGCCTCGCAGTCATACACGTTTCCTATCCACTTATGCGACGAGATTCTTCCAGCTCCAGTTTTCTACGCCACTGTGGTTCCCATCGTAACGTGGACAGTCATTAAGAAGCTAATAATCGATCCGGTGGTGAAAGAGCGGAAGGAACGTGAGAAGGAGAAGCAGAAGGAGATGTACAAGTCCAGAATACTGGAGAAACAAAGAGAAGCCAAAGCTGCTATTGAACTAATGAAAGAGACCGTCAGCAGGATAAGAGCCGAGGAGGAATCCAAGAAAGGATTAATTATTACTAAAGCTCTGTACGGTCGATTCGTCTATCCTCAGCAAGACAGGTCTAATTTGGAAGAGAGCGGACACAGAGATGAAATGATAGACGTGACGATTCCCTTACAATGTTTAGTCAAAGATTCCAAATTGATTCTTCATAAGGCGTCCAAGGTATCCGATTCTGTAATATTAGATCCCTATCATATTTTTATTTTACATGTATTTAGGATATATAATCTCATTTTCCTGTAATCTGTTTCGAGTAACATATGGATTGCGTTAAAAAAACAAGCGATCAGTGAGTGGTCAGTGATTATCGGTCGTTATTGTTAGATTCCTAAATTTAGAATCACTCAACCGTTATACAACCGTTGTGTTTTCTGAACGCAACTATAGTGATGTATATATAGGGTGTCCCAACGTAAGGAAAACACTTAAATATCTTGAGGGTCTAAATATGGGAACCTTAAAAATAAATCGAAAAAAATGACTATAAAGATAAAAATTGTTTTCCACGGTATTCCTCCTTCAAAACCATTCAAATTGTGTTCTGAACACATTTCTGATATCATTAAAAACAAAGGAGATATTTTAAATATTCCCCTTATTCTGAGACATCCTGCGTATTATTTATTGATTATTCTAATTGTATAATAAGATATATCAAGTATTATTGCGCAGCAGATAATATATTGTACCATTGCAGAGCCAACTACCTGGATTTTATGATCCATGTGTGGGAGAAGATAAGCAGCTTTTGGTACAGTATCTTTTCCACGCTCAAACGCATGAATGTATCATACGAGATGATGCACCTCTGAGGATACCAGTTTCATGTAAGAATTTATTTCTATTTGTTCGTTCCAAAATCGAAACATGCAGTAACATCTCGATGTGAAATGCAAAAAAATAAGTAGCATTCTGCACATATGCTGGCTGTATTTGTACACAGTTCGTATAATTTTTATTTAATATTTTAATGTATTATTTTCTATTTTCCTTTCGTGTGTTTCAGCGCATAAAGTGAACACCACCTGACGTATGTTGTCGACGTTAAAAGCAAAACGCCGCAGTCGCCGCAATCCTCATAAATGATCGGCATATTATTGCAGTGTAGACTGTTAACTCTTAGAAATTTAATTTTACATAGAAGATGAAAAATACCGAGTGTTCGTTGATCCCCATGCTATGTTAGTATTGTCTTCTCTCAGTAAAATGATATTTAACTATTTGAAAGTAGTCACATGTAATCCAAAGTGTGAAAGAATACGTACATGTCGTATGGACGTATTTTGTACATACACATTTTGTTGTATTGTGTTAAAAGTGTGTTTTTTTTTATATAATCTTTTTAAAGGGTATCTGGAGTATACAATTTAAAATTCTTCGTATGCATATTATATATGTATAAATTTTAAATCGTATATGGTTTCTGCTTATTAAAATCATGTGGAAGATACCTTGCGAAGAGAATAGAACATAGTCAACCTAAACACAAATCTACTTTACTGCCTCTATAGAGATAATAATATATATTATATTTTGAGAGAGAGAGAGAGAGAGAGAGAGAGAGAGAGGTCTATTGATCTTTCTATATAACCCATTATTATAGGTGAAAATATAAATAAGTTTCTAGCTGCATATCTGGGTATACAATTTGCATATTGTGTATAATAACATTAGTTAATTATTTGCACAGCCGATTTATTAGGGTAATTAAAAATATAATATATTACATGGTGGAATTAGTTGTATAAAATAGTTAACGATTTAAATGATGTTTCTGTGTACGTGATTATATCCATTTTATGAAGCAGGAAACTACATTTGCGTGTGCATCTATTGAATAAATTACAAACAACTCAATATTGAATCATGAATTAAATTTACTTTTTAAATTACTTTTTGTTAGACTTGCTTCTTAAATTACATCATGGAACATTTACTTTCTCAAACTGAGATGTTATTTTGGTAACTTTTTTTATGTCAGTATACTCTTGTATAATTTGTATTTTATAAAATTAAGTAATTTTGATAGGATAAATTCATTATGTGGCTGTGTTTAACATAACGGTATGCAAGAGAGAATTTATAACTGCATTGTTAGGTGAAAATTTCTTAAACATATTTAATTCATCATCTTTTGCCTGTAGTTGAGACAACGGAGTCCACGAACGATCATGTTCTAATCTGAAGGAACCTTTATAACACTGAGACAGTACAGAATTACCTCATTCCTATATAATAAGATTCATATATTTTTATATATCTTTTGTTTTAATTTTAATATAAAAACAACTTACCTCCTACTTACTGTTGCCAGGGTCTAAGAAGAAAATCTTGCACCACAGCCCAGGGTGTTTTTTTGTTAGAATATGTCCCCAATTGACATGGGTCTTTTTAGGATATATTTATATTATAAAAATGTAATTATCTCTAGACCAAGGACACCCTACATCTATTTTATTGTTTTTTAGCTTAACAATAATGTTCATTTCCAAATTTATTGTAATACGTTATCATAAGTTGATAAAGAACACGCCCCGCATATCTGTCACACTGTCAGATACAAAAATCAGGATGACGCATATATGCAGCGGTGGTAGCGAACCTGTTAATACCACGAAGCATGCTCATATCGAAACATTTCGTCGGTATGACAGGTTCCCTAATCTATCAAGTCGTCAACTTTGACGATTAATAACTTTCTTCGCGGGGCAGAGCGACACTTTTTTCTGCCAGATTCTTTCGTTTCGTGCAAATACGCGTCGAATAAGTGTAATTTCATCCATATTTGTGCTAGCGTAGCTAAACTAAATAATTACCGCGACGAGACTGGTTTTGTCTTCCTACTTTTTCGTCCTATTATATGAGGTTTTATACAAATGTTTCGAAAACGCGTTTTCCTCAGGCAGCTTTGCAGTGCTGCGAATGCGTTCACAGAAGCTGCTACGGTAGCAGAAACGTCAACTCGAGTAAGCGTTGTTTCATTCGTGTTATAATTCATCCTATTTTTAATCTTCGATGCCTATGCATCATATTTCACAAAGTTTTGGCAAGATGTTTTTTACGTGTTTATTACAGCTGGAACGATTCAGAGCAAGAATGCAAAAGGATAAACAGGATGAGATACTCACCGATACATTTGGACGGAAGCACACTTATCTCAGGATATCAATTACTGAACGTTGCAACCTACGCTGTAAGTTTTCTTCAAATTTCCATGTTTTCTACATTATATTAGTCTTTTAACATTGTCATCATTGTAGGTACTTATTGCATGCCAGCAGAAGGTGTCAAGTTAACCAAGAAGGATGGTATCTTACAGACAGATGAAATAATACAAATAGCCGATCTGTTTGTTAAGGAAGGAGTACGCAAGATACGTTTGACTGGCGGCGAGCCTACAGTTCGTAAGGATATCGTTGACATTGTTGGTAAAATCTTTTGTCAGTGTGAATAATCATCCATTAACTTAATGTTAATACTGTGAAAGATGATATCAGCTTTTAAAGCGTTTCTATTCACAATTTTATTCGTTAGCACAACTCAAGCAGTTGAAGAACTTGGAGCAAGTTGCGATCACCACAAACGGGCTGACCTTGACTCGCCAGTTGCCAGCTTTTCAAAAAGCGGGATTGGATGCACTGAATATATCCTTGGATACTTTGAAGGAGAAGCGCTTTGAGATATTCACACGTAGACAGGGCTGGGCAAGAGTTATGGCTGCTATAGATCTCGCTGTCCAGATTGGCTACAATCCTGTGAAGGTAAAAGAGAAAGAACATTGATATCATTTAACATAATTGAAAAATTTTATATTATGTAACTGAACTGTATCAAATTTTAAATTATTTGGATATATATGTGTCGTATACATTTGTACATTTAATAATCAGGTCAACTGCGTCATAATGCGAGGGAAAAATGACGATGAGATAACCGATTTCGTCGATTTCACGAGAGATCGCCCCATCGACGTGCGTTTCATAGAATATATGCCGTTCCAAGGGAACGAGTGGAAGGAAAATAAGATGGTGTCGTTCGACGAAATGAAGAAGATAATCCGAGAGAAGCATCCCGACTTCCAGGCTCTACCGAATCAGCCCAACGATACATCCAAGGTTCAATTCTTGTTAATACCTCAGCTGGGTTGTCTGAAGATGCATTGTACACATCGTGTTCTCTCGACAGGCCTATCAGGTGCCAGGATTCGTAGGGCAGGTTGGATTTATCACGTCCATGAGCCAACACTTCTGCAACTCGTGCAATCGTCTGAGAATAACGGCGGACGGAAATCTGAAGGTGTGTTTGTTCGAAGGGAAAGGCGAGGTCTCGCTGAGAGACGCTTTGCGAAGCGGTGCATCGGAAGGTGCACTTAGGGATCTGATAAGAGAAGCAGTGTCGCGGAAGAAGAAGCAACACGCAGGTACGCGACACATATCGATCAGATCTGACACGTGGTAACTTGGTGTAACGAAGTATTCACCGAGAATATTTTCATCCGCACAAAGGGGGCTCCTCCCCTTTCTCGTCTCCTCCATTCATTTCGTCTTTTTGTTCTCTTTTCGTGCGCCCATCCCTCATCTCTGTTAATTTTACATGAACTGTTGCAGTGTCGACAAACCGATAAACTGAGACGTTTGCATTTCAGGAATGTTCAATCTTACTCAGATGGAAAATAGGCCGATGATCTTGATCGGGGGTTAAATTGGTATCGTTGCGATTATTAGTCGGTCGTGTCAAAGTATTCGGCTTTGTCGAGACGCGCACAGACGTATCGTAAATCCCGGGAACTTTCTGTTTATAACAACTCTCAGCGTGAGAAAAGAAAAAGAGTACACACGACGACTGCGCCGAAAAGAAAACTAACATTGAGCTAACTAAAATTGACTAACTAATGTTTGTGCATTGCAGCTAGTCGTAAGACGAAATTTTCGCGAAAAGCGCGCAATGTCACGTCGACATGGGACACGCGGCACGCGTATCCGCTGTGCACGTCCGTGCAGTTTCGAAATAACGCGGGCATCAGAATGTATTCGACGTTATCGCACATAGACGAGACCGGTAAAGCCAACATGGTGGATGTCGGCGGGAAGAGCGAAACTAAGCGCACAGCTGTAGCGGTGGGATTCGTGAAGGTAGATCCCACCCTCGGTCGTCTCATCGCGGAGAACAACGTGAAGAAAGGCGACGTGCTGTCGGTGGCCGAGCTGGCCGGCACTATGGCCGCCAAACGCACTCCCGACCTCATACCGCTCTGTCATCCGCTCACCCTGACTTACGTCAAGGTGAAGGCGAGGTTGATCGAGAAATCGCACCAGGTGGAGATCACGTCGGAGGTGAGATGCACCGGCAAGACCGGCGTCGAGATGGAAGCTCTGACTGCCGTGGGTGTAGCGGCGCTCACGATCTACGACATGTGCAAAAACGCAGCCGCTCCCGGCACGATGAAAATCCACGGTATCGAGCTGGTGTCCAAAACCGGCGGTACAAAGGGCGACTTCCAAGTAGATAAAATAGATTAAGTAAACGGTATCCTCGTGTTTCTCGATAACACGGACGATTATTCCGATGGTATTCTCAGCGTTCCATAGACAATGTGAAGCGACGTAACTTAGTGCAATAGGGCTCAAAAGATTCAGATAAAGAGAGTTTCGGAGGAAATTTGATAGATTCTCTGTTATTCTGTCGTCTATTGAATTTCCATGGTATTATTTTCATATTTTGAAATGTGCGTTAAGTTTCATATGCACACTTCTTTCATATTTTTACACGTGCACATAGATAGATTCATATATATTTATATATATATTTTTTTATGTAAAAATCTACATATACGTTATATATTTGTCACAAATGGTAACGGGGATGGTGTAGTCAACTTGTACATAGATATATATTTTTTTCTTGGTAACGGAAGAATTTCGTAAGTTGTGCATAATTATCAGTGTATATTTAAGACTAACGCATCGGCCGTTCTTGCTATACACGATACTTTTGTATCTATTTTTATTTCTGTACGTATATATCTGACCAGTGCAAAGATAGACAGTTATTCGATCATACGTAAAGAAAACGTGTTCATTCCGCAATTACAGTCATTTGCAGTTCGACCAAGATCCTCTCATAATGGCGAATAAATAGATGAAAGTTTACGTAGAAACTACGTAGAAGGGATATTATCAGACGTTATTATTAAATAATAATCACAACGGGCGTTGTATTGAGAAATGCGTTGTAAATTATCGGGCAAAATTCTTCCACCATTGATTTCCACATGATTTCGGTGATCGATCTGATATTTTGCACGTGGAAACGTATATACTCGAGTAAACTCGAACGAACGCATGTACATGCCTTTGAACTAGGAGCGAAATTATGAGGCAGATTGTATCGTCACGTCTCAAACAATAAGGATATGCGGTAAATTTGTATATTAACACGCGTCTTGTGTCATAAATTGTAAGTATCGGAAGAAGAGCAATGGCACGGCACAGCGCGACGATACGCAAAGGAACACGCATGATAATACGCATAATACGACAGCGCAGTTCGGAGCTGTTTCCGATCTGCGTCACTCGGTAAGCAGCTCGATATCGTCGCGAGCACGAAGAAACGCGCAAGGCCGGAAGCGCGAACGAACGGTCTCCGGTAGTCGGATCTTGCCTAAAGTTACTTTCTATCATGTATATTGTAAGTTACGAACGACCTACGTCGTATGTTGTTGGAATACGTTGTTGTGTTTGGAGAGATTTTATCGCAATATATATATATCTATATATATATATATATATATCTATCGTTTAATATGCATAAAGAAGCCTCCTTATCTTCGCCTGTCTGCCCTCGTCGCCTCTCCCCTGTTTCCTTATTTATACCCGGCGGAGAATTGTCCCGGAAATAGGCGAGTTCGCCCGTAAACCACTTTATACTTTCGCGCGAATAGAAGAGCCGGAGAACTCGCTCGGCGAGCCGGACGAGGTGAGACGAGGTGAGGCGAGCCGAGGCGAGAGGTGTGTGTATGTGTGCGATTGCATCGGTAAATCGCGATAACGTACGGCTCTTGCGAGACTCCCCGGTTCGCCGGGATAAACATGTCTCGTCGGTTAAGGGAAATCATATCTGATGCCGACCTTTCGGCGCAATCGCACGTACCCGTGGAATGGGCACGGCGCCACCGGTGCCAGGATTTCAGAGCTTTTTCGTGTCCTCCGCGAGGAGCAAAATTCAGTGCTTGGCCCGCAACCGTATCGCACCGCCCCGTAGCGAACTTTGACCCGCGGCAGCCGACGGAATCGCGAGGAATTCGAAAGTATCGTCGGCGACGCGCGACTTACTGTCTCCGCGGTTAAATCCGTCGGACAAATTAATCGTTGCGATTGGCAGCGTCCCACCGAGGGAAATGACAACGCGTCATTCGACGGGATAATTCGCGCCGGACCGAGAGCATTAATTATGCTCGGGACGTTCCTCGCGGCGCCGTGATGACGACGGCGGGAAAGAAACTCGATCTCCTTTTCCCGACCCTCGTGCGCGTTTTCCCGCTTCTTCTCTCATTCTCTCTTGGCTTTTCCCTCCCTCGCGAAGCCTGAGGAAGTGAGGGAGAGTGTGTTAGTCCGTTATGCCGGCGAATCCCGGCGTGATCTTCCCGCGGGTACTTCTCGAAGGGCCGACGATGGTGAGTGAACGTCCGTATCGGACGGTGGACAGACGGCAACTCTCGCAGGAGCGGCGCATATGAATCGGATTGAGAAATGAGTGCGTGAAAAATGGCACCGTTCCACGGCATGGCCCTCCTGCTCCTGGGAATCGGATACCTGTTACACGCGGAACCGTTTCACGGCGTACGCGGCACCGGTAAATGTCCCCCCTCCTTCCAACACTTTTAACGCCCGCCCGTCGGTTATTGTCTAATACACGGTGTAATTTCGGCTGAATGAGTAATATTCCAGCCGCGCGACGGTGCAACTTTTGCTCCCGAATCTGCGTTCTGTGTTCGTCGCGCGTTCCCCTTTTCTCTTTTCTTTTTCTTTCTCGGGAAAATGAAACGAACGATCGATAGTCGAGAGACGCGGAAAAGTCTCCGGAAAAGTCGAAGACAATCGTGAATGAGAGAGAGAGAGAGAGAGAGAGAGGAATGTGCATTTGAAAATTTTCGGAGCTATTTTCGTAGGATAAAATCGAATAATTTGTTTCTCCTAGTTTTTCCATCTTTCAGTTTCCAGTAATTCGATCTTGTATAATTAACGCTTCGCTCCCGTTTTTCCCAATTTTATCCGGTAAGAGATATTTAAAAAATGATACCCGATAGCGAGCTAATAATTCCAGCTGTAATTGGGCGCGTGTAGGAATAAGGAATTAATTAACCCGGAGTTAGTGTTAATTGATATAAAATCGGCTATTATACTCTCATCCGCGACGGTCCCGTGTATCTTCCAGAATTAGACGCGAAATTAAATAACAAGACGATTAAGGGATACACACTCATTACGGGCGGAAATAGCACGCGCGCGGAAGACGAAAAGGCGGAATTAATAATTCCCTTATATGAGATGAAAACTGCACAAAGAGGTTTCTAATTAAAAGAGCGAAGATTACAGTTCATGCGTATCTTCGCAATTCCTGGTACCTCCGACGTGATTTTTACAGTTTGACGAAAATACCGTAATTATCGCAAGAGGGAAGAATTCGAATGCGCGATAGTTGCGTATTATTAATTTCTCGATGTATTTTTGCCATCACTTTTACGTTATTCGAAAATATTCCCGGCATTTCTATTTTCATACGAACAAACGACGGGAAAGCATACAATTAAAATATTTCTTCCCGTTGAAATAATATATTTTTGAACATCGCGTCCTCTCCCGTTTTGTCGGGCGAATTCGTGAACGCATATAACGCAACAACGAAATCCCGAGCGATGTTCGAAACATTGTTATCGATTTACGTACGGTTTTTTAAATAATTAACTTCTACGCGTACATATTATATAACGTACAATTCAACGTATGTATTTTGTTACGAGGGGGAAAATGCAACGAGGAATTTGATTAGGAACGCGAAATTCCGCATTATTCTCGGACCGGACGTACATCGGAGTCCCTTCGACGAGAACATCTTCGAGGACAATAATATCGGGTCGAGTCATAAACGCTTTCACTGTCTCTCTCTCTCTCTCTCTCTCTCTCTCTCTCCGCACGTTTCATCTCCGCACGATTCGGCTTTATCGGGCCGGCTTATTGATTCTTTCCGCGGTGAGATTTTCGCGAGGGAAATACATATTTGCCACCTGCGTCGCGGGCGCGGAAGTTACGCGTATTTATGGCTCGACCCGGCCCCGACATCTTTCTCAGCACGATTTATCTCCGTTTCAGCGTTCTTGCCTCTCAACGACGACGCGTTCGGCAAGGGGGAGAAGTCGCAGCGCAGCACAAAGAAGACATATTTTTTCAAAGATACGCCGCAAAAGTTGACGGTGGCCATAGGGCAGGCCGCTGTGCTGTTGTGCCGCGTTAAGAACTTAGGAAACAGAACTGTGAGTCTCACGAACTTTCCTCCCTGAGTCTCGTCGATCTCATCGATCGCGCGGCGGTCGTCTGAGATACATTGCATGTTTGCGTAACGCGCGTTAACCCTTTCGCTGTCCGCGCGATTGCGTGCACGCAGCTGACGTTATCGACAGATTCCTCGCAAACGAGCATTTCTCCACGGAATTTGTCAAATCTGCTGGGATTTCTAAAGGAAAGAATCTATAATAATTAATATTATTATTTTTCAATTGTATAACAGAAGACTTTTCAGATAGCAATCAAATATAATAACAATAATCGTTGGAAACCAAATTTGTACAAAGTACAAGTAAGGTCGAAACGTATCGCAATTTTGTATTAAAATTCAATAAATTTAAACGACTGTCACCTGTGCAAATTTGGCTCTTAACGTCCACCGTATGTTTATATACTTACGTGATTAATGTTTTTTTAAATAATAAACGTTCTTAACCTGTAAAAGATTTCTAAAAAAATTCTTCTGGAGATCGTAACGTCTTCTGATAATTTTGAAAATATTTCTGAAAAGGAATCTGTGATGGATTCGTTCTCTCGAACCCGCGAGATATTCTTGTCGGATTCGTAATCTGCAAAATATTTAATCCATCGCAATTCGCCGAGGAGAGCTACCGCGACAGATCCGTGTAATCTTCGCGGAGACGAGTCGCCCGTATTTCCCGATTCTCGACCTTTTGAACTTCGAACTTGCTTCGTCGTTTCTACGACGCGTATCCGGCTAGATTTCCGAATGAGTTCGCGAATTTCGCTTCTGGGCCGGGTGACGTTACGTATCTCCGAATTCGCGGATTCCCGGCGAAATCTTTGGAAGACTCCTCGTTATAAACGCGAAACACGTTGAGAAACGAACGGGCGGACAAGCTGAAAGGGCCACCGACGGCGAAAGGGTTAAAGGCGGGATTGCAGTTACTTGTACCTCATTCGAGACTCCCGTACGTAACCCCAGGTGTCTTGGATCCGAAAAAGGGACCTACACATCTTAACGTCCATGTCGGTGACTTACACGAGCGACGCGAGATTTACGGTAGTCGGCAATCCGGAGACCGACGACTGGAATCTGCGAATAGATTACGTGCAACCGCGGGATGCCGGCATTTACGAGTGTCAGGTTAATACAGAGCCGAAGATATATAGGGCCGTGGCACTGAAGGTTTTGGGTGAGTTTCCGCGGAGGTAGCCTCTGCCCATAAATCGCGCCTTAAAGACCCCGCACGGGCGTCTTTCGTGGTTGCAAAACCGATCGCTTTAACTCCCGCCTTCCGGCGATCACGCGTTTGTCTTGTGCGCCCGCGTGCGAGCGAACGCGAGCACGATCCTTTGCCGAAGAAGTAGAAGCAGAAGTAGCGAAGCAAAGTCGAGTAAAGTAGAATCGACGTTGCGCGCGAGACGCGGATGATAACGACTCGATTGTCGCGCGGAGCGTTCCTCGAGAGTAACGAAGCCAATGCGAGCGCAGCTCACACACGTTTCTCCTCTTGGCGTTGTTGTCCTTGTCCTTATCAGATATACAGGCAAGGATCACGGGCCCCCAGGAGCTATACATTAGGAAAGGCAGCACAATCAGCCTGACCTGCATCATCGAGCTGCAGGATCTACCCCCGAGCAACGTGACCTGGTACCATGCCGGCGCGGTGATCGATTTCGACGGGCCAAGGTACGAGCCGATTAAGCCGGGGCGCACAATTAGCCGTGTAATGGAATCATTGTTCAATGGCATTATTGCGGACGATCACGCGTAAACACGCGCACGGGCAAAGCAGACAATTAGAGATTGAATTAGAGAGTGCTTCCTTCGCCCCGATGTTACTTCCGAATCTGCAGTGATCGTTCCTACCGCGTCCAACTAATCGCCTTATTCTTCGGAGACCGGCTGTTTAAGGGGATGCTATACTTGAAAACTTTACCGACTGATTTTTCTTTCTTTTTCCTGCAAGACTTACGTCTTATTGACTGCACGGAATTACAAGTGCTTCTATCTACGCGAAATTATGGAAATGAATCGGGGCATCGTCCGATATGTGACGAGAACGATTCAAAATTTCGAAACTGAAATGTCGACCTGTCAAATGGAGCAAACGTTTACCTAAAACAAATTTTACAAATTGTACCGCGTGTGTGTTTGCTCCGGTGAGGGACATTTCGGAGAACATTTCTATATATTCGCAATTGTACATAAAAGCTCAAAAAGATAGGAAAAATTTGTAGAAAAAATTTTATGTATATTGACTAGATATGGTAAGACGAAGTAGCACAAATTCATCTTATTCACATTTATATCGCACTAACGTTTACATAAAACCTATATGTATAAGGAATACGAACAAAATAGCGTGATTATATCAGTATTATGTAACGTAATATTTCGAGGATCGCCTCTCCGTTATAGATGCTTATCAAGTTCGTCAACGACTATAGCATCCCCTTAAGAGAGAGAGACCATACTTAAATATTTAACGAGAGAATATTCCCGCGTTTATATACAGGATATTTCCAAACTAAATGCTGTCTTATTTCCGTCTTGTAATTTCACGGTGTAAGTTAAATTAATTTACAGAGGTATCAAAAGCAAAAGAGAGCCTTACTTTTCTTAATTACGTTTTATATCTGTCGCTCTTTATAGCATTATCTAACTAAGAGGGTCTTTAGTTCCTACAATAGACTTATTTCCACTTCAACAATCGATATGTCTCATTGCAATTTAACTTAATGCAGACCAATTAATCCTTTTTAATCCTTTCGGTGCCACTTGTTCTTTCTAAAGAATTTTGAATATGCAGGGTGTCTCAGGCCAACGGGGACAAACTTTGTTATTATACTATATTAGTAATTATTGGAAATAGCCATGTATAAAGGTTTCTTTAATTAATAATTCGAAATTTTGCGTGTTATTTGCAAACCAGTTAGAAATTAGTTGCAAATTAGCAGTCACTAACCTCAATAAGTGGCTGATTTGCTCTGATTAATTGAAAAGTAACAGCTAACTGCGAATCGCAATCGTTAGTGTGATGTCGGCTTTATGCAAGGAATGCGGGCCTTTCCCCCACTGCCGCGGCGCGTCAGCTGGTCGCCGGGCCACGCGGTCGTTGACAGCGCTCACGCGTGCGCACTGCGACTTTTAAAGGGCCGAGCCGAGCGCGTACTGAAACTTTAAGGGGCTATAATGTGGCAACAAATCGACATAGAGACGCGGAAGAAAAAGCAATTTTCTCGTGCGCGTGATTCCGCGCACGTTGGCGTTGCTCTCTTTTTACGTCGACTCGGAGAATGTCTATGGCCGGGAGATAGATTAATTCGCGAATACCCGCGGATTCTGTTTCACGTTTATGATATGATTTCTGTTTCGCATTTATACGATTATGATTTCCATTTCCGGCTTATGATACGATTACGATGGGATTTCGCGTTTACGATACGGCTACGATACGATTTCCGTTTCGCGTTCATGATTATGATTCCTCCGCTTGCCTTCGCGAGTTCGCATCGGCCAGAGTCACGTGTTTGCCTGTCATTGCGAAACAATCGGCGCGCCATCGGTGCTTCTATTATTTATCCGACGGTAAAGATAGACGAGTTCATCGCGGTCGCAGGGAGATACGAATCGTCGGCGGCGTACTGACGTAAAACGCGGGTCCGAGGCGCATGTACGGCGACGTGCCGAGGGGAATACGTAAACACGCGATAAAGCACGCCTCCGTGGATTTTGGCAGGAACTTTCGCAAGTCAGCTAATGCTTTTACGTTCGGCAGGGGCGGCGTATCGCTGGAGACGGAGAAGGGTAAGCGCGGCACCACCAGCAAGCTTCTAATAACGCGCGCTCTCCTTAACGATAGCGGTAATTATACATGCGCGTCGAGCAAAGTCACTCCTGCGAGCGTCATGGTGCACGTACTAAACGGTGAGCAAAATACCGGGGCGCGTCGGCTGCACGTGTGTGTACTTATGTGTGTATTTGTGTGCGTATGGGGGAGCGATAGTTAATTTCGAAATTCTCCGCCGAGAGAGGGAGAGAGAGAGAGAGAGAGTGTGTGTAACATTACGTGATTATCCCCGCGGCATTTTGTGATAAGGGAATATTTGTTTTAATTCCGAGCCACGCGTCCGTGCATCGAGTCATGCGTGATGCTCCCTCAGATTTCGCCCCGCGCTTCGTTACACTAATGTATTTGACGTAAATAATGCGGCTCACCGTCCAAATATTAATTGCCTTTGTGATAACTGTTTAACGCGTCGCGACACGGAATGAGAAAGCGGGCGAGAGCGACAGAGAAAGAAAGAGAGAGAGAGAGAGAGAGAAGGGGAAGGGAAGCTATTGTTTAATAGTAATATTCGTCGTGCATTGCTTTTGTACATGCAAACAACATGTAATGTTGTCACGTGCGTTATTTAGCCGCGATAATGGAATGTAAACGTGTCGTTTAATAATAATTTCTAGTGTCGTATTTACAGTCGTTTTACTAATGGATACTGTGTCAACATTTCGAGTTCGATAACACGTGGGACGGTTGATTGGCGTATTTATCGCCGAGTTATGCCCCTGATACAGCCGACGGTTCTGCAAATCTCGGACGATTATTAGAGTGTGATCCTCTCTCTCTCTCTCCCCTTCTTTTCGTCTCATCTCGTCTCGTCTCCTCTCGTGTCTCCACTTTCGACGAGTCCGTTAATAAATTTAACATTCGTTAGCGAGCATCCGAGAAAGATCGACGAGAGACTATGTCTCCCGGTAATGACTTAGAGGGAGAACGGGACAGAGAAGGGAGGGGGGAGGGGGGAGAGGCGACAGAGAGAAATGACGCGTTTTAGCCGTCTGGTGTAATTTTCTTTCCAGGCGAACATCCTGCAGCGATGCAACACGGCGGCACCGGCGATGTAAATAGGAGACTTATTCTGCTCGTCCTGATTTTCCTCGTCGATACGATGTTTCGGTGAGCGCCGCCGCCACTGCCGGCGATCTCTTTTCCTCCCGTGCGCGCGCTACGGGACGCTACTTCGGAATTCGTCTCGGAGACTCGCGCGGGAATATCTGCCTCTGCGCCGAGGCGGCGAAATAATCGACGGGACTGTATATATAGCGCTTCCACCGAGCGCCAGGGAGGAGATCTCTACTTCTCCGTTCTTCGTTCTCATCGACGAGACTCCAACGTCGAGATCGATGACGGAGTTGGAGTATGTGTTAACGCTAATTTAGAGCCATCACACCGCTACGTAACGTACGTTCGAGCCGCAGCATCTTAATCGGATCTCCGATTCGCGCCGCGGTCGGCAGGTCCAACGATCCCTCTCCCCTCCCCCTAACTCCGCGTTTACTTGTCTGGATTACTCGAATACCTCTCAGATATGCCGCTCAACTACAATACCCTTGTCCGAGATGTCACACAGGATATAACTTGTATGTAATATAATAAACCTTTTGAAGTTACGACCTGTGTCTGTGTCTCTGCGTTTGTGTATCGATTACAACTCACCACTCACCGGGATAAAGATACCTTTTTACTATTTTCTTTTTTCGCTTTTTCTTTTATTTTTTTTTTTTCTTTACGACCATCCGACCCGGAAACGTGCGAAAACCCGCTCGTGATATTTTTAAAATAAATACATCTCGATAATCTTACACACGGCGACGTAATGGTATTATCATATCGCGCGCATGAAAACGTTCTCCCACGCGACAGCGGCGCGAAAGCTGCTAAGCTGTTCAGATCGACAATGGAGATTAAGCGTGTACCCTCTTTTGTACTAAACTGTTTGAACACGTTCTTCCCGATGAAGTGAGGAGTGTATCAAATAGTCGCAATTACGAGTCACTGTTTGCGTCGTAATCGGTTATGACAGGAACCAAAGTGACAATGTAAACACGAGCCCTTTATTACATTCTTATCCGACAGATAAAAATGACGGATAAAAAAGATATTTGCGTTTTTTCTGAATGTTCCGGGTACAGTTATGACGTCGATTGTCTCGTATATTATCACTTCAGCTTCTGTTGTAATGAATTATTGATTTCTCCTGCACAATAAAAATTTTGTTTTAAATTTAACACATTTCGCAAACGAGCCACGCAAGTTTTTGTATCAATTTAACACAAGGTGAATATGTTGAAAAGTAACACAAATATATAATAATAGGTTATTATTAAAAATTAATACGAAATTAATATCCATATGTTAATCGACACTGAAATATAAAATGTGTTATTTTAATACTTACACATACATGTTGAATATTGATTCGATACGAAATATCGAGATAACATAAACTCAATATATTAAATTAATACACGGGTGTGTTAAAAATTTAACGTAACTTTTTGGCAAGGACCGATTTTAACATAAGTACAAAATGTTTTTGCGTAGCTGAAGTAATATTTTTTGCAACATGATAAATGGAATCAAAAATTAATTTAACAAGTGAGTAAGGGATTTTCAGGAGACTTGAACTTATAATAATTGAGATTCAAGGATTCAAATTTAAGCGTGCACGGAAAAAAATATTGCAGTAAAAATTACCGCAAAATTTTGCAAAATGCTGGACCATGCCGGAATTATGACCGAAATTATGATGCGTGTTGTGATCTTTAGTGATATGTACGCATGATATTTCATTAAAAATTACAATACACATCATAATTTCAGTTATAATTCCGGTATATTCCAGAATTACAAAATTTTTACTACAATATTTTTCCCGTGTGGAAGGACTGATTCTCTGTGCACGGTTGTCTGAGAATACTCAGCACGCGCGTCGTTAAACGCTGAACACATTTATCCTTCCACAAATAATATTACTATCGGCAATATTAAGATTGAAAATAGCGCTGTAACATCCGTGCTTGGTTCCTCATGGCCCAATATATTCCTCCCTTACCATTTTCGGAAAGCATGTCCTAGATAATAACGGATGCCTGGAAACGAGTTTCGCAAACGAGTACTTTCGGATTCAGCGATACTCGAGTACGGTAAATACCTGAGCGAAAAACCCTCGTCTCGATCTCCCTTAATGTACTCTCGACGAGGTTCAGCGGGGATCAATTGGCCCCCCTCCTCGCCGTGCTAAGAATTCTTCGTTGTTGCGGTCTAATAAAATTAGTGGGAGGCCACGGACACGATCTCGCGAATTAAATTCAGCCCGGCCGGCGAGAGAGCAGGGTGTATAACTTCGCCTGGGCCGCGCGGGGTACAATAAATCGCGCGGTGTACTTGGCGGTACTTCCGTACAATACGTATACCGACACGACCAATACAGCGCGGTATAACCGATACAGAGAGCCGCCGCGGAGCGTTAGCGTGCCGGCGTTAAGTGCAGTTAAGGATCGGAAGAAAATAATCCATGAGAGAGCACGCACGTGACGCGCCTTTCCGATGCGCGCCCGGCCTCAAAGGGTCAGAGAGAGGGTCGTAGAACGCGGTCTACCCGTTCTATAGCGGCGGACGGCCGTCCGGAATCGCCGTCGTTACCCTCTACCTGCCGGGTTCGATAATGGAACGGCGCTTCTGACGTCCGCCCGCTCGTCCCGGCGCGAGTCCTCCCGCGGGAGTTGCGGATCCTGTCCGGTCTCATTTTATGCAAATCGTCCAGGAGCATCTGTTAGACGATTCCGCTCCGCGGAGTCGCGTCCCGCCGATGCAAATTCATGGCGAAACCGGCATCTCTCTCCTCCTCTTCTTCTCCTCCGCTCGCGAATTCCGTCCTCGAGGAATCTCTCCGTGCCGGTTTTCTCCCTTCCGTCGCGATACCGTTTCCCGCTCCGGAAACCCGACGCGCAAAGTGTAAGGCAAAAAAGAGAGAGAGCGGGGCGTTGTTAACGGCCGTCCGAAAATGCTACGTGCTCCTGCGAAATTAGAGGTAAAAGAGGAAAGAGAACAGAGTTCTCTCTAACGGAGAACCTCGTCTCCATTACGAACGCGAACGTCGGGGTGCGTCGGGACGCGTTAAGAACCTAAGTGGATGGGAAGGATGCAGCTTAATTAACGTCGCGAGAACGTTCGCGAAATATTCAGACCCGCCGCGCGGTCCTGGATGTGTGAAAAATTTATCCACGCCCACAGCAGATTTGCGACGAGTGCGTATTTTTTAATTAACGACGCCGAAATCCCCTCCCACGAACAAGGTATATAAATATTTCCAGAGATATATATTTTTCCGAAAGTATTCAGCGATTAATCCGATCGGATGCGCAGCATTACCGCGGCTCGACGAAAAATGTCCCCGCGGGGCGCCATTCGTCAGATTTATTCGCGGATAATTTTACGGTAGGATTTGTGTTGTTATTGCATTATATCGTATAAAACACGACCCCGCATGGGAACGATATCCAGCCTAAGAGTCCCATCTCGACGAAAGTGACGCGCGACCGCGAAAGCTCGGTCGGTTGATCGAATTTTTGAACGCCGCCCGCGTTGTCGCTCGAGCGAATATCGCCGTAATGAACGAGTTTACGCCGTAATCGCGTAAAGCTTTTGAACGCAAAGCAATTTCCCCGAATATTCCGCGCGAAAATCCCGACGTGGGTGCGATGGCACCGAAAAGCCACGGAAAACTCATTCCCCTCAATCCCGCGCCGCTGCGATCCTGTCCATCACATCTCTCTTTCTCTCTCTCTCTCTCTCTCTCTCTCTCTCTGGTTTCGGACTGCCGATAATATTTACAATATTAATGCGCGATCTGCTTTATTATGCTGCGAAAGTGCACGGGACAGAATCTCCTCCTCTCTCTCTCTCTCTCTCTCTCTTTCTCTACCTTTTTTCCTCGTGGAAACTCCGAGCTATACAACGCGACACGGAGATTTTCGCGTACGGCACAACATTGTGGGACTCTCTCTCTCTCTCTCTCTGAGACGCGATCTAAGCAAGGATTTAATCAACAACAATACCGTTTGACATGGATCGCGCTTGATTCAGCCCATGATAAGGACGTGAATCGCGTAAACCATGCGGGTCGCCAAGTCGAATTATTCGAGGAATGCACTATACACGCAAATACGGCCTTTATCAAAGAGGGTTCTCCGAGGACGCGCGCCGAGGTTTTTTACAAGCGAAAGAATGAACATTCGTATCAGCGTGGGGTCCGCGCAATACGAAAGAATGTGGCGCGAGATACGTGGGTGGTAAGACACATCTGCAAAAAGCGAGGAGGAGGAAAATCCAGGGCGCTTTCCCGCCGCCCGTCCGATTCGCAATTTATCCGCATTTCTTCGCATGACAGTTCCCGAGCTGTTGTCACCGGGATAATGGATTATTTTAGAGACTTCGCCGAGGGCGCGTCGCGACGTGTCGCGACACAGATCTACGACGAGACAACCTGCTGCTGGTAAAAATGTCTAATTGTTTCCAATTAAACTGTGTCGCGCGCGTGGCGAAGACGAGTCGACTCCGATTCAACTTCAACTATGAGACAAAGCGCCGTATGTCCAGGCGAAAGAATTGTTACGAGCGAGAATGACGATCTTGTTAAACTTCTAATGGCAAAGTAGATCTTCTGACATCTAACGAAGATCGAAGATCGTCTTATCCTTATGGGATATATGGCAAAAATAAAAGAGTTTCTAAAAGTTTTTCTGTTCTTCTAAATATAAGAAGTAAATCTTTCGTATTCCCAATTTTTTTATAGTAGTAGACAATATACAGCTTTTATTTGTATAGCTCATCTGCTTTAAATATAATAAATAATACTTGATAAATTAAATTTTCCTTAGTTGCGGCATATATATCAGAGTTAAAGCTTTGTATCGAAGAAATGATTCCCGCATAAATAAATACAATAATAATAACTTATAATAATAATAGTAATTTTATTCAGTGAGATTGGATCAATAATAGATAAGAGAGACAAAGAAGCAACGCGCAAAGATAATCGCGCGCAAAAGACGAAGCGGCAGCATCGATGCTGCCGCAAGGCCTCTCTCTTCTCTTCTAGTCGGGCTTAGCAGGTAAAATAAACATATATCTCGTAATAATATGCGTACCGGACGTTTTCGGGATGGTTTAACGTCTGGAGGAGAGTAAACGACATGTCTGGTATAGCATCGCCCGCATACCTCTCTATCGGCGCAACGCTTTTTCGGGAGACAAGCCGAACGATGATCCCATTATATTCCTAAGTCAAATACGAGACGAAAGTTTCGGCCCGGACGTCTAAGAATTTTGCTGGGAAACTAAACTGGGCCGCCGGCGCATTAGATGGCTGTACGGTGCTTGGAGTTTTATCGAGTTAGCCGACGAGTTGCTGCGACACGTCCGCGAAAGTTAGCCGCGTAACTGCTGATCGTTCGGGAAATTCTGTCGATTGTTTATCCAATCGACTTCGCTTTTATCGGACACACGATGAAAAAAATTCGAATAAATATTTTAACTTTTTGTTTTCTAACTTTTGTTTTCTCTCTTTCCCTCTCTCTCTCCCTTTTTTTTTTGCAGAATGTTGAGCGCGAGGACGACGGCTTACTCGCCTTTATCACGCGTGCCTCGTATATATGCGCACAAATAACGGGATTATCTATGGGAGGGGAGAAAAAAGAACGGGGGAAAATTACAGTTAACTGTAATCATTACGGCGGTAAAATAAAGCACCGTGAAATAATAATGACGACGTTACGGTGTAATGTACGGCGCGGCCGTTACCGCTGTAATAGTTTTGGTTTATGACATACGATCCTAATAACGTCATTATAATGATAATCACAGTCGCGATAATTTAAATAGTTTTATTGTACGCTGATATCGTCGGCAATATACGATATTCCGAGAGAGAGAGAGAAAGAGCGCACAAACCTGTCTTTATATTCTGAACAGCCGTCAAGCCGTCAAGACGAAAATCGCCGCTTACTGTTTCGATTATCACGAAATTCCGAAGGAAACACGCTTCGAATGCTATTTACTTTTCGAGTGCTATTTACTTTTACGGAGCTATTTACTTTTTCCAATATATTGGATTTGTTGATATATCCGTTACCGAAGTGCGCTCGCACGCGTGCTCGCTGATATCGCCGATTGTAATTCCACGATAGTTATTACAGCGATCGTGCTGAATAAATCTCTAAGCTAGCTGTTTTCGGCACGGTCCAGTCGAATGGTACGGGCAAATTTCCTTTAGTTTGTCAAAGGAAGTACTTAACGTTCTACCGTTCAAAGCTCACCCTGAGCCCGAGGGCGTAACTTCCCTTATATCGATCGCGGTGTTTGCAACAGCAACACGGGATGAACGTGGTTCGTTTGCGGTGCAAGATCATCTGCAATTGACAAACCGTGTCAATTCCCAGGACGCCCAACTTGCCCGATATCGATTTCAATCCGATACTTGACGGTTACGTGGTGCCTGACTTCGAGATGCCCGACAAGTGAGACTTACGAGGGATACATGCACAAGGGAGTCTGCACTTACTCTTATCGTTACGCGTAGAGCGATATAACGTTTTCTTTCCGTCCTTTTTGCACGAGGATATCACATATCACCTGTTATTTCTTACATATAATAATCATCATCATTCTCATAATCTTTATTACCTTATCACATCATACAGAGAATGTTGTTGGAGTCAATAGAATTTCCAACAGCACGCGTAATTGGAGTAAATTTTTTTGATCCAATAGCGATATCATTGAAATGAATACTTCAATTATTGAAATAATACATAACAGAGTAGTTTTAATGATATTTGAATCAAGAAGATTCGCTCAAATTACACTAATGTTGGAAATTTTAATAATAATAATCAAAATAATAATTATCATCAAGTCATCATTAACATTATATTTTACACTATATTATTATTATTCGTATTCTTATCATTATTATTACCACGCACTTTTACAAATTGAAGCTGTCACTCATCGGAGACAATCTGGCGATCGTTCATCGGCGATTCCACGGTCGGATTTAATATTCCTCTCTCGCGCGCCCGGTGTGACGTTGAATAGTAGAAAATTAAACACTCGGAAAACTAGAAAAAAAAACGGCGAGAGGCAAAGTATAATCCCGCGCGGAAGAAAGCGCTCAAAGAAATTTTCATCGCGATTCCATTCGGACACCGGGAATACGTCCGGACGTTTCTACGGGGAAAACGGTTTATCGCGGCGCGCGTAATTATTTGCCCAAATTGCTCGCGAACTTCGGACGGAGATTGCAATAATTTCCTCCTTTCAGCGACGTCTGAAATTCTTTTGATGAGCGTCCTTTGTTCCGCGCTGCCGTTCGCGGCGGCTTCTACACTCGCGCTCGCTCATTCTCTCCCTCGTCCGCGCAAGAGAGTAATTTGTTCACGTCACTTGTCACTTGGAGGCTACTTAAAATGAATAAACCCCAGATTAAACAGGATAATCCGGAGCCGATGCCAAAGAACAGACATTCGATCACTCCGCCGACAAGATTGAGCAAATTGCAGGTGGACAATGCCGAGGTAAACGCCCGAAATACACAAAATGGCAAACGTCCAGAAAAATCGCGACGTTAGGTTAATTATGCCAGAGGAGAATGCATCCGCACGTCTGGTGTGTAAATGTGCACTGAAAGAGATAATTAATCTCTCTTCCTTTTTTTCTTGCTCTCCCTCTCTCTTAATTAATAATCAAAAGTCTGCCTTGAAAATAATATTCATCGTCGTACATCCATCTTATTTTTCGCTCACGTCCTCCACCTCCCATTTTCTTCTCTTTAACGCGATCTTCGTTATTTTGTTTCAATATTCCACGACGTATGGCCAATATAGTATATATTCAAATCAATCGAAAGCTCTAAAAAATTTACGCGAGCGAAGTTTGCTCTTACCTCGCACTCTCTCCCGTTTTTTCCCTTTTCCCTTCTCGCCAGCCGTCATATCGAGCGTCACGAGGTATCCCCGAGGGGAATCGAAAATGAGACGTGTTTCTTATTTCCGGACAAACCCAGAGGAGAAAAACGCTGTCGAAGTTCTCAATGATTGGTATCAATGGCAGCCCCATGTTCTTTCACAGGCGCGGGGATCGACTTAAGGTACGTTCGCCGTCACCGGCACCGGCGGAATAAATTGGATGGACGCAAATAAATTGAGCGAGCGCGGAAAATGAACAAGTTTTAATACCGGCGAATCTCGATGCGCCTGGAGAATTGTTTCGCTCACTCTTGAAATGGGATTTCCGGGAAAAATTAGAGAGCGGATAAAAAATTCCGCGTCATAATTTCCGACGAGAGGTGTCCCCATCCGACGCGACACCCCGGTTAACACGACAGAGACAGGGCGGTAAGAAATTTCACAGAGTAGAGAACTTCGCGTCCGAAAGTTTCGCCTGGCCTTATAACCATTTGCATTTTTCGGTGGATGTGGTACATCGTTCTGCACTCTATCGCGATTTTCCAACGGTTTGCATCTTTCTCGTAACGATGACGCGTATTCTCGCAACTGTCTTTAACTTCTTGCGGTCTTGTGTACCGAGTGTATATTGTATTAGTCAATTCTGCAAACCAACATTTTACTCATTAATAATACATACCCAATATAAATGCATACTATGAATATATTACTGTGAATATATTGTTGCATTAATCATAAACTATTAAGATAAACGCAAACCATATTATTGTCGCGAAGTAAATGAATATTTCTACGAATTAGTCGAGAAGAAATATGCGAAAACAATTCGGGGCGCAAAGCGTTAACATCTCCGATCACGTTTATCAGACGTTCTATCGATCTTTGCTCGATCGACGACGGTATCGCAATAACGCCGCTTTTTCATCGTCCGAGTAGATGCCGAAATACCAGAATACCTTCCGCCTGCTGCCGTTTAAACCCTTTCACGCGTTGGCAGTCGACAAAATCGTTCGTGACGTGATGGAGACTAAATTATTGGCGATTACGTCATACGAGCCGGATCACGCGTCAAAATTATGTTTGGAAATTGCCGCCGATGTGCTGAAAGCCGTCGAGAAGAAGGATTACGACAGGTACTGAAAAATCAAGGAAATCTATTTCGGATCAAGTTCCGCGTGCCGTCGTCGCGCTCTCCTCGCGTCTCTCACGATATACCTCTCTCGGGTAGGATAAAAAAGATATCGCGAATATTCTCCGTGTCCTCGAGAACGGATATCGGATGACTATCGCTTCTGCTTCGAGGAACAGGGTGTCGTCTTCAACCTCGTTTCTACACTCGGGATGATTTGTGATTCTTTTTTTCCTGCAGACGCAAGCTGGTGGTGCAGGTGAACATCATTCAGCGCTACCGTCAAGGTATCTGTGCGGCTTTTCAGTGTCTCTGGGACGTGGAGCACGATAATTACTCGTATCACGTATCGGAGAACGATCACGTGCACGCGTGGTGCTGCGTGTTCGGTATATATTACGACTAAACGCGACGATTTCGTACTAATATCGTGCCGCGGCGCGGTGCATTATGCCCGGGAACTCATTAGTTTGTACATCGAATTATACATTATAACGCTTATATACATATTTACCACATCATCGTGGAACCAGACGTACGGTATTAATAGTAGCAATGATACCGGCCTCCAACACAACGGCATATATCACGGATGATAATGCCGGTATGCGCGCAAATTTGTCGGTATAAATCGCGGATTTATATATATATATATATATATATATATATATATATATATATATGTTCGAGGATATATACATATATGTATATGAAAATACAAAGCGCGAGTGTACCGCGTATACGTGTAATGAGGAACGAATTATCTAATAGAAATATTAAACGAGACATCAGGCGGAATAACGCGACCGCGTTCGCTCGGTGCGAGTAATAAAAAGAAAATTCCGATGGGAGCTATTTCGACCATGTGCCGTGTAGTCGGTAGTGAAACAATGGTTGCGACACTTTTACCTCGATGAACTTCATAATACGTCGCGTATCCAATAAGAGAGAGAGGCGGAAGGAGAAAGAGAATTTTTTAAAATAATTCTCTCGGGAGATAGATTTTCCTATCGGATACCGAATGCGTTTTGAAGTTTAGCGAGGCGGAAGGATGCGGCAACATTTCTCCTTGACTGCTTATATACGTGTTTAATTATTTCAATGTGAAACGCAGTGACATTTCTCGTTCTCGGCAAAATCGTTCAAAAGCTGCTGCGTTACACGGTAAAGACATTTTGTACTTATGTTAAAATCAGTCCTCGTTAAAATTTTTGTGTCAAATTTTTAACACACCCGTATGTTAATTTAATACATTGTGCTTATGTTACCTCAATATTTTGTGTTGTGTTTATTCGATATTCGAAATGTGTAAGTATTAAATTTACACATTTTATACTTCAGTGTCGATTAACATATTACGCTATCGGCCATTAATTTTAATAAATGCTAACATTATTTGGGTTTTGATAATTTAGACAAAATGAAAACGTACGTAATTGTAATTACTGATTTATTGCGAGGACTTTATACAATATCAATTAAATTTCACATATAATTGAAATTAAGGCGATATTTTTATTCGGATTTTATTTTTGCCTACGTATTCACTTTTAACTTTAATTACAGCCTCACGTGCAGTCAATTTATCCGAAATTTCTGGTCCAATTTGCTTCCATTTTACTTGTTAAACTTCCCAAAAATGATTTATATTTGTATTTCAAAGTGGATACACTCCAAAGTCATTAGGAATTTGATGGTCAGTGTTCTATTTAAATAAAAAAGACGTTTCAACAATTATTGGGAAGTATCGTTAACTTTGTTTTTATAAAAATATATACATTTGCCACTTCTTTTATAACATTAACAAGATATTTAGTCATTCATTCAAATTAATGATCGGTAATGCAATTTTGTGTCAATGCTTTTTTACATAATACTTACTTTGCAACATATTCATCTTGTGTTAAATTAACATGAAAATTTGAGTAGACCATTTCGAACGCGTGAAATATGTTATATTTAATAAGAAATTTTTCACTGTGTAGCCGGATTTGAAATATTATGCTTCGAGAAAGGCAGAGAGGGGAAAAGAGAGAGGGTGAGAAAGAGAGAAAGACGAAGAGAGAAAACCTCTTATTCCTCTTGAAGTATGAAAGAACGTGCCGCGGTTGTGCCCGATGAGTCAAGCGAGATAGGCCGCTTAAGTTCTTAATATAACACCCCGTTGATAAGGATAGTAACAATTATCACTAACGCGACACTCCGGAGCGTACGTAGCTAATCGTTTAGTAGAATACACTCGTGGGGAGAGGGGGGAAGGTGGATGATGAGGGGAGATGCTAATGCGAGAGCAATTACTTTACCGCGTACGCACAGTTGCAGCCGTACAAAGCCGTTGTTTTTAGTCGGCTGACAAAACGAGGAGCTTCTTGCACGATTCCCCTGATAATTACGTTTCTTCAAGTACGAGCGATGACCTGGGGATCGTGTTAGACCGGAGTGTTTAAAAAGTCCGGTAATTGTTTTTTCCCCCGGCGAAATGAACAAAGGACGACTTAAAAAGGTTTCCCGCTATAACTCACTTCTTGCACGGGGGCTATTTCAGGCGTACAAGATGTTTCAGATCTCGACCGAATCTCTATCTTTTACTTATGGATTCACGTAATTCTTCGATCAGCGCGCGGTGTCGGTCTTTTGACGTAGTTCTCGGACAGAGTTTGCTTCTTCTTAAGCTCGATCTTGTTCTCCTTTCTTCGCGATTCGTTCGGAAGTCCCGTCTTAAACACGCGTTTGTAACTTACTCTCAAATTAAAGCTCCATTGTGTGCGAAGTATGGCGCTTTAATGAAAATTTAACTCGAGGATCATCATAGCACACGTATCGAAAGTCGATCGATCCCGAATTTTCAACAGATTGTAACTTTAAGTTTACAAGTCGAAGATTATCCGATCGATCGACATTTTCCCCGAGGAAAATACACAGCGAGCTGTGAGCCGCTTGGAGGATCCTGAGCGCGGCAAAAGACGGGAAATTCGGGACATCCGGTATACCTGGACGTATCCGGCGACGTTGTTTCAACTGATAGAATGACCGGGAAAAGTTCTGATCGATTATGCAGTAACCATTCGCTATTAATATTTATTGCTTTCGCGACTTCGTGCCTTTTATCCATCGTACCACCTCCTCCGTCCCGTGATGATTTATCGAGAAACTTTCGGTCGGCTTCGTCTACTCCTCGCCGGAATAATAGACGGCAGTTTAAAGTTTCGGAGACACCGCGAACATTTTTATGAACATTGGCAAGCTCGTCGGGACGTGTCTTCGATCGTCGGGCGGGCCGACGACGCTCGCGACGATTACATCGCGAGATCGTGATCGCACTGCGGCAGTTCCGGACGGAGGCGATTCCGGGCATTTTCGCGAGCGAGCGAGCGCGGCAGATAAGACGAAGAAGAAGAGGGGTTCATCAAGAGATGAAAGATGCAGCCACACTTTTTGCATACCGAATCCCCCGCGACGGGGGAAGCGGCGATTTTTCTGCATAATTCCCGCGTTATGAATTTAAAATATATCACCGGCCAGTTCAATCGCACCCTGGAAAGTGGGTTAATGTGTAAAGTGAGCTAATTGAAATTATAATACTCGAGCTCTCGTTGATCCTCGATTGGATGCGCTCGCGTCCAATCGATCGTGCGTGTTACGTGCCGCTCGTGACGTTGTCAGACGCAGACGGCCGGCGGCTCGATCGGTCGAACACTTTCAGCATCATTACGCAAAAGGTCTAGGAGAAAAATGGATCGATGGTGCTGACACACTGATAAGCAAAAGACGAAACCCGCCGATTCCAGGGAGTTATCGCGAATTCACTTTTTTCCGCATAATTTTATATATATATTATTGCGAAATTTCTGTATTATGCGAAATTCAAAATCGACCACCGTGCAGATAAACAGTCAGATCAGATAAGTGTTTTAATGAATATTGTTTATTATTATTATTATTGTTAACGTTAGTAATGCTGCCGTTATTATTATTGAATATAGCAACACGGTGTCACTGCACAGAGAAAATATCACCGAGGCGTAAAATATACAGTTTCCGAAAGTGTCAATATTCAGCAGGTAAAAAAATATTTATGATGCAAAGCTTTTACGCTCTCGCAGTGTTGTTAACGATGTTATCGCCAACTCATCATTTAGCGACGCCGCGTTTACCATTGATGCGCGAGAAAGTGGACGAGGAAGAGAGGGGGAGATAGAGGCGAAGGGAGAGGAGGAGAGGAGGAGTTGAATAATAAAATTATCCGATCGGATTCGGATCGCTTCGTGAACCTTCCGACCGACGTTTGCGGAACGTTTTTCCTGTATCTAGCAATACCCGATTGGAAATTATTGGGAAAATGCGCAACAACTCTCTCTCTCTCTCTCTCTTTATTCTATTCTCTCTTCCTTTTAAATTAATGGCGCAATTTCAGTGCCCCATCACGTGACAATGCTTTCTACGAGTAGTAGCGCGTCGTGCAGGACAAATCGAAGACCGAAACGGGGACAAACACGATTACGAGACAGTCGTAAAACAAATCGCGAATGAAATCTCGCGGCGACCTGTGCATATTCGCGACTGTGTGTTGCCCTCGCACGCCGTTACGCCCTTTGGCCAACTAGCTTTATCCGCCTTCATGCTAACATACTTTTAAGGACGCTTTAAGTGTGCCCCTACGCCACCAGCCTGCAGAATCCGCTAATCCGGTGATTTGTTCCCGTAAAAAGGAAAGAAACGGAAGGTCGCGGAAAATTTTATCAGGAACAAGACGGTCCTCCTTGTTAAAACGAACGTGAGAAATTTTTCAGCAATTTTTCTCCTCTTAGTACCCTGAAAGCCTTTCGTGTATCTCTCGTGGATACTTCTTAACCTTCTGTTGGCATATTTATTTTTTGCCGCTTAGTTTATCAGCTTAGTTTACTGGGTAAGGTCCAGTAACTTTTCTCGTATATTTTTACTTAAGTATCTATAAATGTGCTTATCCAGATATTATACATTTGAATGCACAAAAAAGATAAATATTGGAAAATTCGCGATCATTATTTTTGAAATAAATAATTGATGTGGTATTAGAGAAGATAGTGTTTCTTGATTTTACACGGAAAGAAGTAAAACATTTTGAATGCTTTAAAAAAAGAATTCTATATTTATACATGCGATAATTCAAAATCCGACAACTGTGGGATCTTAATTTTTCGCTCGAGTCAATTTAATCCATGAGCGCCAAACTGGGGTAATGAAACTCTCGACGGCTCTCTCGTGCGTAGCCGTAAATTGCGAAATTAACCAATTTTAAAGGGTCAATGCGAAAGACGAACCCGGATGCCCTTAAGCCGCGGCACACGCGCGTCGGTGACAAATACTTTTCCCCCGAAGCGAACTGCGCGGAATGGATGGAACATGTTTTTTCGCGGACTATACGCG